CTGAATAAACACGTCCACAACCTGGCTCAGCTTGTCTAGTACAAAACGTGTTAATATCATAATAGATATAAGAAGATTTGGTATAAGTGCCAATATGCAACTCTCCATCCAAGTCACAATATATAAAAGTAAACCATTATAGGTTGTCGTTCTGAATATGTATGTAATAGTTACCACTGGACATTAGACATGATGATCGTTCTCATCGTCATCCTAATCAATCTTCATATAAACAATTACGCGAGCACCTTACGGTAAAAAGGTACATAAAAAAGTGGTTTATTCCATCATGGTTATCAATCTGAATAAATATAATTCGCTAATTTCGTTATCCTCTTATAAAATACAAACACTATCATGGGTCGGGAATTATTTATCCGGGTTATTGTTTTATATGTAATTTATAAACCAATAAATGGCGAATTAACGAAAAAATTATATGACAGTACCGAAGCACTTACTACAAAGTTGATTATACATGTACCTGCGGGGGCTTCAAAAGAGCTTTTTACACAAGACAATGAGGACATTTCACTACGAACCTATCTACTGGATTTATTGATAATTTTTTTCTATAGTCCTGGATATGCACGTAATTTTAGCCGCTACACGTTCAGCAAACTAAAAAATCGTCTTTTTTGTCTTAAAATGCTGAAAACTCTTTTAGTCGCGGTTTCGCTATTGAATTCCATTACAATTAATGCACTTTTGATTATAATTTGAAAAAAATATAATTTTTATATATCTATAATATTTACTTAAAAATGGTATTTATAATGATTATATATATAAAGTGAAAACTTTTCTTTATTACGTTAAAGATTTTATTTACAGTGTACATTTTAAACATATGGACGCGATTTTTGGTTTCTTCATCTTTTCGTTTTTAGGGGCCCGAGGTTGTGAATTCAAACCACGCACATGGCAGGTGCATTCAACTACAATCTTAATTGACTATGATTATCAGTTGTCACACCAAAATTCGTAGATTCTCTCTTGGCACTCCGGGTTCCTCCACCATTACAGACTGATCGCCACGAAAAAATCAATAGGGCTGAAAGTTGCGTTGAACACCAATCAATCAATATTTTCGTTTAAGCACCCAGACTCAAGGGTTTGGAGATCGATTGAAAACAAAACCAACCATTTCTAATCACAATGTTTCATAAGCAAAATAAAGCTTTAATTTGAATAAATGGAGGGCAAGGCCCCAACCTACGTTCTCACAAGTACGAGGGTCTGGATGGTTCTTTCATTTCTGTATTCTTCAATTTTTAGACAATTTTTCTCTATTCTTCATATTTTTGTCCATTATTCTCTATTCTGTAAACCACTATCCTCACCCTCAGGTATAGACGAAGTGTCATATATGTGGTCTAGTATTATAAATGTCATCTGCATATATATAATTTTGTAGAAAAAGATAAACGGATGACTTTATGCATTGTTTTGGTGTAAGATCATATATCTTTTCTATAAAATCGATTGATTGTTGGTTGCTTAACGTGCAGTGGCAAAAGTTTCATGCGTGCACGGGACTAGAAGCAATTTTAAAAGAATACATACTTTGGGGAATACCTGTAATAAGGGTAGACCGGGATGAAGGGCGGTAAGCTTTTTACACGGGTTTTAAATTTTACTATTTTGGCGGATAAAGACAAAGCAAGTTACCATATTTCTATTCCCCAGTCACCCTTAAGTGTCTATAAACTGATCAGCAGCACATACCAACTTTTCAGTTGTGAGTGTGACACAGTCGGAGATCTATTCAGATAACACGGTTGTACCATGAAAGTATAATATTGACAATATAATACTTCCATGGATGTACCAAGGATTTTGTATGTCTATACGAAACAAAAATTAAAAAATAACAAGATCATGTATACAAAATAATTACCGAATTATAATGGTCCGATATCGTAAATGACAAGTAGTAGTGGCGAGTAGCGAAGTCTCGCCTGACGATAAACCACGAGATGCCAAATCCTTCTTACTATTAATAAAATACAAATTCTTGGTTGTACCATAGGTGTAACTATTTTCTATTTAGGTAAATTTTTTCTAATTTAAGGATTTTCATTTTTTCACGCATCTTTTGTTCTAACTTACTTTATTCATGATAATTATAATGTTCCCATTTTATATATTTGTTTAAGGATTTGTATAGTAAGGACTTGATTTGTTCTATCAGAAATATATATGAATCGGCAAGCCGGAAGAAAAGTTAATATATCTATTTGTTCGGCAATCCGTTTGCGCATGCACAAATAATCAATATCATCGTTGAGCATTCCGGATGAGGTATCGGATTGCAAATGCGCGTATTGTTGGACGTTTTGAGAATTTGAGCTTGTGTTTTATATCTAATAAAAGACGACTTAAGAGAAAAAGAGAGAATGGTATTGCATGCTTTGTAAACAAATGTCTATACTCATTAGGATGGACTTCATAACTTGGCAATAGCTTGGCATGTAAACTGAGAAGAATAAAGTGTAAAAGCACACCAGAATTGCTGTTTATCCCCTTACTTTTACCTGTATCATTGGAGGCAAAATGCGTAAAAATAAGTCTTGGAAAACGGACAAAGCGAATATACTTTGCTGCATGATTTGAAAGTTCTACTACAACTGCGATCTGTGAACATGCACTGATGACTGCACTGGAAATCTCGAGCTGGAAATAGTATACCAAGCTTAGAGTATAAACCCCCTTTTTAGTTTATTCTGTTTAATTATTTTTTTCCCAATTAGAAAAAAAATATGACATTTTTGCTATTATAAACACAATCTTACTTTAGGGTCAGCTTACATGTACCTTCCCCTTTTCTCTTCTTTTCTATGTGTTTCAAATCATTTAACATTCAGTTTAAAAATTAAAAATCAGAATCATTTGACAATTTCATTGAAACCAAAGAAATGATAAATTCATAATCTTCTAAAGGAATCATATGTTTACATTGAAGCCATAAATCATTTGCCCGACTTTTAACTATCCATGAAATTCATAGGTAAATAAACAGCTGCGCCATGAGCGCATGATACGCCCGTCGTCTTGTGTGTTAATTTTTATGCAACAAGCATAAATAGTTTCTGACATACGGCGTGACATGCGAAAACCCCCTTTTTTTTTACCAAAAAACTCAATATCTCTAAAATAAAATTTTGAATCAAAACCAAAAAGTATACAGATCTTTAGATTAATATAACTAAGAAGTGTGTAAAATTTTAAGCAATAATCATAAATCGTTTTTGAGATACGGCGCGACATGTGAAAACCCCTCTTTTAAAAAAAAAATCAATATCTCAAAAATAAAATTTTATATCAAAACCAAAAAGTATACAGATCTTGAGATTAATATAACTAAGAAGAGTGTAAAATTTTAAGCAATAATCATAAATCGTTTTTGAGATACGGCGCGACATGTGAAAAACCCCTCCCCTTTTTTTTACAAAATACTCAATAACTCAAAAATAAAATTTTGAATCATCACCAAAAAGTATACAGATCTTAAGGTTAATATAACTAAGAAGTGTGTAAAGTTTTAAGCAATAATCATAAACTGTTTTTGAGATACGGCGCGACATGTGAAAAACCCCTCCCCCTTTTTTAACAAAATACTCAATATCTCTAAAATAAAATTTTGAATCATCACTAAAAAGTATACAGATCTTAAGATTAATATAAATAAGAAGTGTGTAAAGTTTTAAGCAATAATCATTAATTGTTTTTGAGATACGGCGCGACATGTGAAAAAAAAACACACACCTGTTTTAGTTACTAAGTCCCGTAACTCAAAAAGATTTAATCCTATTTTCACCAAAAAGTATACAGATCGTTTGACCATCATAAGAAACAACTATGTTAAGTTACATGAAATTTGGATAAGTCATTCTCAAGTTACGGTGCGACATGTTTACGCCGGTCAGACAGACGGACAGACGGACAGACAGACGGACAGACAGACGGACGGACACCGGACATTTGTATATCATAATACGTTCCGTCAAAAATTGACGGGCTTATAAAAATAAAAACTAGAGACATGTTTGGCCCTAAAGTACTATCCTGTCCTAGATGCTGGCTTTCCAGTTTTCCAACAAGCATCTTCCCTATAATATCGTATCATTTCAATACCTTTTTACAAGTAATTTGTGACGAGACCTTTGTACTTGTAACACCGGTTTGTGTTCTGCTAAATTGATAAATTGTTTTACTTTCCGTTCCTTTCTTGGACAATTCTTTGATGCTGTATTATTCTTTTTTATTTTTTATGCATTTTTTGTATCATGCATGCATATATATCCTGCATGTAAAAGAAACAGATATGCCGTAACATGGAATAGCTATACTAGGAATAACTAGTCAGAGCTTAGAACATAGACCCTCTTTTTTTCTCTCTTGTATGAACATTTTTTTTAACATTTCAATATTTTTTATCTATTTAATCCGGACTAAAGGCAGCACGTAGAAACTAGTGTTTAAATTGTAAAATTGTAGTTAAAATACGAAAGCAAGCACAAATGAAGATAAGTTAAACAAAAATCATGAATTTATTACAAATCTTTTAAAACAAATAGAAGAAAGGGTGAGAAAAAAGGGTACCCATGCCCAATCGCCTATTTATCGTGAATAATACTTGAGGGTCTGGGTGGAGTTTACAGAATATAGAATTATGGGGGAAACGCAGAATAACAAACAAAACATATAACATAAAGAGAAAACAAGACCAAAAATATAAAGAATAGAAAATAAAAGGGTGATCAAATAGAGAATAATGAGAAAAATTATAAAGAATAGAAAAAAAAAATGTTTTAAAAATTAAAGAATACAAAACCGATTGAGTCAGAACCATCTATCCAGACCCTTATACTTTTGCAGTTGTCCAATTTTATAAGCGTATTATGTTATTTGAAGGATATAAAATGAAAAGACATTAATAACCTCTAGGAATTGACAAAGATTCAAATAATTTACAACATTCGATTTTTTTTAATTTATGTTATCAAACTAGTGTCGCATATCTATCAGAAGTTGTTAAAATATTACTAATTACACCAAACAAATCGCGGCTTAAAAGCCTTTTATCAATTTTATGTAATGCACGCGTACGTTGATTGTAGGCCCCCTAGTGTTACCACATGTCGAGAAGACTTCAAATGGAAACACAAGATAATTAATTACAAGACGACACGGATCAATAATTTTGTATATGTATGATTACTTGGTATTATTCTCTATGTACGTGCAACGAAGATGACAGACAAGTGGACATTAGAAGGAGGGAGGTTGAAAATAGACGGGAACCGTCTTCCAGTTTCGTATATATGCAACATTCATCACAGTTCAAGAAATTGGAGGTTAGTTTTCTCAGTAAATTAGGTGGGATTAGGGGTGGGGGTCAAGGATACTGGGATCCCCTCATGGAGCGACATTTATGCTTAATACATACTAAACGTTTTACAAGTCTCACCTCTAGCGTTGCCCTGCTCGTGCCCCTTTTGAAATCCTCGATCGATCCGCATCTGCCAATATCAATTTGCATAAATTTTTACGATTGCACTACATAGATTAATATCGATCACTGTATAATAAACAAGAACAACTTTGAATATTACATTTAGATAAATGATAGAGCAGTGACACCCACCTCTTGATTGGAGAATATATTAAATTTCATTTTAAATATAGAAACTCTCTACCCGCCATTATAGACTCAGTTTTATCGATTACCCCCCTTTCAATATCCCTGGATCCGACCCTGAAGACTATACCTTAGCAAATTGTAGGATAAATTTTGAGGTAAATCTAGAGACTGAGGTTATTTAAAAGTTTAAACTTTTAACTGGCTTTTTTGTAACAAGTATCTTAGAATGCTGAAATTATGAATCATAATTGATGTTTTATAAAAGTGTCCTTTCTTATCTCTTTGCAAAAGGTTTTGAAAGTGCAGAAGATTAAAGGTAATATAACTCATAGCCCCATATCGGCATTTTACGTTTCCGGAAATTGGCATTACTTTTCCAGGAAAAAAATATGACGTTTCCGGGAAAAAAAGTTCACATTTCCGGAAAGAAATACCTTATTTTTGCAAGAAAATAGTTACGATTCCTGAAAAAAAAATAATGATAACTTTTCCGGGAAAATAATTAAGGAATACCTGTTGAACGAAAGCAAAGTCATAATAAAATTGTAGCCAACACGTCGTACAAAATCCACAGTAGTACATTCACCATTTAAAAGTTTTGTGGGTTTTTTTCAACAAGGAAGTCCATCTTCTCCTTTTCATATTTTCGAACGGGTGCTTTAATAGATAAAGTTCTCATCTTTACGATAATGTTATTTGCAGTTTTGATAGCACATCGACAAAGACTAAAAGGTTAGGATGGCTAGCGTAAAACTGCTTGTTTAAGTGGAAATTAAAATACTCGGAACCATTGGTTGGCGGAAATCTCGAATTGCCATCTATATAAAATTCCAATATGTAATCTGCAAACTTCATGCATTTATCTTCAGATGGAGCGTCTGTTATTAATTCTACAAATCATTCTTTAACATTATTGTTTGGCAAGTAAGCCAAACCAAAGAAGTGTGTCAGCCATTTAGGAAAAAATCCGAATTTTTGTCCTTGTATAGTCGTAGTCAACTGGTAATATCTTATATATTGTAGATTTAAAATCAGAAACGTTTTTGTATAAAAGTGTACAATAAATAATTATCTAACATATATTCAAATATTTATGATTTAATTCCAGATAAATTTCCGGAAAAGTAATAAATACAATTCTGGAAACGTATACTTTAAGTTTTCGGAAACTTAGTATTGGAACTTTGAAAAATTAGCGGAAACGCAATACGCCCACTCATGTTTTGACAATAGTTCGTCCTTAATTGTAATTAGTGTATTAGAAGTCATTATGTTAAAAATGCGTGCAATGTATCGGTTAGTCTATGAAAAGGAATATACTATGAATTTTAGAGCGAGGGGCTTGATATGTGGTGTGCAGTTGTACAATCATTTGCATATCTTATTTCTACGGCGATTAGATCCGGCTGCTCCTTCATCGTCTATTCTCTCTGAAACATTTGCTTACTTTACATGTTAATGTTTTTGATAAGGTTAGTTTAAGATGAACCATTATTGGTAATACAATGATATTTGGTATCTATAGCTTTATTAGAATTTGCACTTCTCATTTCTCTGGAGATTATATGGGTCCACCTCAACCATGATTCATTAAGTATAAAGCTATTGCATGTGTAGCATGTTAAAGTTTGAGTTTGGATCAGTTTAAGGAGAACCACAGACTAATATGACATTTATGTAAAATGCTGATATCAGAAAGAAGTTGAATTAACTTTTATACCCATCTGCCCATCGTCAATACTTATAATATTCAACTTCTTAAATAATTCAAAAGTTATCTGACGCTTTTAAAACAGTCATATTTGACGCAATTTTAATATGCTTAGGGCAAATTTTTCTACGCACCCATGTAATTTGCTTATGATGAAATGCCACTTAATACTAATATCCCATTTTGTTCTTGCAACAATTTCAATATGCACTAAAAGGGTGCATTGTGCAATCTGAGTCAACTTTTTATGATCAGGAGTTAAGCCACTTTAAAATGTAAATTTTAGGGAAAGTTGTATGACATTTATGAAAAGATTTAAAAGAACAAAAACAAATATAAGACCTCTAGATCTGCTCCTACACAGAAATCACTTCGTCTGTATTGTTGTCTGTTCTTCCACCCATCTCTTCTTTCAACAACCATTTTCATTACATTTTTCTCAGAAACTACTTGGCAAAATGACGTCATAATTGGTCAAGATTTTGACGGGGATGAATTGGAAAGTGTGATTACTTTTATGAACATCTACTTCCTATTTGCTCACACTTTGAGTTACAAGGAGGTATGCTTAGCATGAACATTCCACATCTTTGCAGGACTATTTGCCCAAGGGCACCTTGAATGTGATATAGTTTTCAGAAAATTAAAGTTATGCTTATTGATTTAAACATTTAATTATTTATAGAAAACAAAGACTAGTACAGAACATAATGAAGAGCAAGAATCATTCAAGGAAAACTATCAGAATAAGGATAATAAAGAGGTATGTTGTATTATCTCCATCAAACTTTCAACTCTGTTTGTCTTTTTTAAACCAGGATCTGTCAATATGGTCATGTTTGATGACTAACACATCAATATTACAAATTAACTCATAATATTTAATGAAAGAATTTGTTCGTATCCTAAGATTATTGTAAAGAGTAGTTTGGCAATTTTATTTCATGTTTTTGAGAATGACAAGGGGTTAATTAAGTTGTATCAAAAGGCAATACTTATGCTCTTGAAAAAATGCATCATTGGAAAATTGTCATATGCAGTATGATAGCTACAAGTAAGGTGATTGGTATCGTTTATTGATTAATAGATTGTTGTTTGGTGAATATACAAGATTCCTTTTAAAAAGATGACAGAGTTGAAATATAACTTTATCAGCATAAAAAAGCTTTTTCAGTTAAGGCAACGTAAAAAAAGGGACAGATGTACAGTTTGTAACGTGATATCGAGTTCATGTTTTCTTTGAAAAGAGGATTATATCACTTTTATACTTGGAAAATTATTACTGGTATTGATTCAAATATGTTATGAATGAATATGTGTATGACCCCTCCGTAGCGGTGGGGGCATCAAGTTTTATGTCTGTATGTCCCGTCCGTCCAACCCGAACGTCCCCAAACTTGGTTGTTCTCTAACTTTAGTTTATCTAAACCAAATGATATAAAACTTATACACAATGCTTATTACCACAAAATACATATCAAGCTCGAAATTGGGTGGCGTTACTTTTACCATTCTTGAGTTATGCCCCTTTATAAACATAAAAATTACTGGATTTTTCGCTTCTGTTCTCTAATTTTAGTTTGCCTCAAGCAAAAAAAATAACTCGTTTACACAATGCATACGTATTACCATAAAACACAGATCAAGATAGAAATTGGGTGGCTTCACTTCTATCGTTCTTGTGTTAAGTCCCTTCATTAACATAAAACATTGCTGAATTTTTCGTTTCCGTTCTCTAACTTTAGTTTGCCTCAACCAAATGTGATAAAACTCATATACAATGCTTATTACCACAAAAACAAGTCAGGCTCGAAATTTACTCGCATCACTTTTATTGTTATTGAGTTATGCCCCTTTATAAACATAAAAATCGCCGAATTATTCATTTCAGTTCTCTAACTTTAGTTTGCCTCAACCGAATGTTATAATCAAAAAACAGTCTTAACTACGTGAATCCTGTATCTTAATGTGGAAGTTGACACGTGCATATTTACAAACGGGGGCATTTGTGGCCCATAGACACATTTTCCATTTATTTTTTTTATGAACTGTTTTTTTTTATTATTTAATCTTTCAGATAGCTTTGGTTGAACGAAATAATGGAAACATGTATTTGGGAATATTAGAAGATACAAAGCTAACATTTACAAAGACAATTGTTGGAAAAGTTAAGAAGAGTTTTAAGATGAAAAATTCCAGCTATATCATTAAAAGATCAGATGTCCAAACGATTGATACCAAATAGATTGTAACGAAGACAGTCTTGTGTGAAAATACCCCAGAATTATTCTAACAGATGACCATTGACAAAACATTAAATAAAATGTTCAGGATTATATAAGCAAACCAAAATGACTTTCAAATTGATGTATTTTTTTAAATGTTTGTATGCCATCACATGATAAATCGAAACAATAAGGAAATTGATTTTTGGCCATAAAGCATTACTTTTGTTTTACATGCTTTCTGAACTGTTCCACAAGAATATTTGTGATAAGATAAATTGGATATAATCATAATTGCAATACTTTTGGAATATTTAATAGTATTAAAACTGACAGAGGAAAAAGGTATAATTCATGAACAAAACATTCTTTATCAGTTTGACTGTCATGACTGTAATAAATAAGACCGTTGGAATTTTCTTTTAAATTTTTTTAAGTTTAATCATGTCGAGTACTTTTATAAATGACTATACCATCCTGTTTTTTTTTTATCATGGTTGAAACATTGATGGAATAATTATTTTCTGTTTCCTAAATGTACTTATTTAATTATTTTGTGAATATATTTAATATTATCAAAATTCACAATTATCAAAACATCCTATGTTGCAAAAAAAGATAAACATTTCAAAGGATTTTTAAAATAAAGTTTATTTCATTTATATCATAATAATCATAAAGCAATTTCAATGTAGAATAAATTTATTCTGTGTCTCAACCTTAACATATTTACTGTACTTTCATAATAAATTTATTTTATATATTATTATATAAAACAAAAATCACATTGAATGTAGAATAAATTTATTTTGTGTCTCAGCCTCACCATACAGATAACTTTACTTTCAAAATAAATTTATTCTATATATTATTATAATCATAAATTCTAAATCACTTAGAGTGTAGAATAAATTTATTCTGTGTCTCAGCCTCACCATATAGATTACTGGACTTTTAAAATAATTGTTTTTTATATATAAGTATAATCATAAATCATTTTGAATGTAGAATAAATTTATTCTATGTTTTTCTCGAACTTATAATAGATGTTAAGGCTCTATAAAATAAATTTATTTCATGTTTTATTATAATCATAAATCACATTGAATGTACAATAAATTTATTCTGTATTTTAGCCTCACCATACAGATAACTTTATTTTCAAAATAAATTTATTTCATATAGTCATGCATCACATTAAATGTAGAATAAACTTATTCTGTTTTTTCCGCAAATAATATGCATATAAGGGCTCTATAAAATAAATTTATTTTATAAATTATCATATACAGAAAGCACCATGCATTTAGAATAAATTTATTCTATGTTGCATCCTTTACAGAGAGTTGACTGAAAATGTACAGCTAAGTGTAGAATTCAGTATAAATTTATTTTGAAATGTAACAAATAAATACTAATATAACAGAATTGTCTTTGTTTTTCATCTTTTTTACTCAAATACATGGGTTATAGAATAAATTTATTACATTCTGGTCCAAATTTAGACCTAATTGCACTTGTCAGAAATTAGAGGGAAAAAAGAGGAAAATTGGTTTTTTCCTTTTTTATTCTGCTCCCAGTTTACAAGTCATTTAATAAAACTAATTTTTATCTTATTTTCAAAAAAATCTGGAGGAAATGTTAAAATAAATTACTTCGCTGAGCGCAGCTGGATACGACCGCAGATGTCCAACCCTGAAAAGTTGGGGCCAAAATGGACACAATATTCATGCTTGATACAGGTCTGAATTTGGATTGTAACTTAATTTTTGACACATAATAGGTTTCTGACACAGAATAACTGTAGTCAAAGAACTTCAAATTGGTTATATGATTTGAATTTATATTCATTTTTTGCTTTTGTGCAATACACTATGCTGTTGTGAATTGACCCCCCCCCCCCCTAAAAAAAAAATAATTTTATCCCGGTTTTTTGCTTTTGTGCAATACACTATGCTGTTGAATATAAACCCCCCAAAAAAATATTTGAAGAAATTTTCTTTTACTTTCTGAAATCTGAAATGAGAAAAATTGTCCCCCCTCCAATTTTTTTCACCTCCCCCCTTTCCCTTATTCCCCAAAAAAAAATCTTTCCTTCAAGATATGGTAAGTATCTCAATTCAAATTTCTAATGGAGTTTGCAACCATAATTACCCATTTAAATACATCATAAAAGTTTTAAAATATAAAATGACATACATAGTCATGGCTAAAATTAATATTAATTAATAGTAACTGCTAAAAATAAATTGACAGCTAATCAACTCAAGACAATCATCATTTCTTAATTCATAATTTACAAGCAGTGTAAGGGAGGTAATCAAACAGTATTCTTTTAATTGATTTGGATTACCTCCCTTACACTGCTTTTAAATTGTCTCAATTGTCCTTTAACCAGAAAAACCCTTGTTTTCCCCTAATCACTAATTGGTTTGAGCCATAACCCCCTAAAGTCAATCCTAACCATCCCTTTGTAGTACGGAAACTTGTGGTATAATTACAGAGAGAATCATACACTTTAACACAAAAATGCTTATTTGGGCCCCTTTTTGGCCCCTAATTCCTAAACAGTTGGGACCATAACCCCCTAAATCAATCCCAACCTTCCTTTAGTGGTTATAAACCTTGTGTTAAAATTTTATTGATTTCTATTTACTTATACTAAAGTTATTATCCGGAAACCATCTGTCTTCGGACGACACTGACGACGACGACAACGTGATACATTTTCCAATATACGACCAAAAATTTTTTTTAATTTTTGCAGTCGTATAAAAAATTATTGAGAAACATATGACATCAGTATACATTTGAAATGGCAATAACCTGATCCACACATAACTCTGAAAAACAGAACTGCACATGAAGCAAATCTGTTAAAATGTTTCTCATTCATATAAATGGAACAGTGATATTGGAAATTCCAAGAACTATTCTGATTAAAAAATACAAAGAAATTAAGCAAAACTACTCAGCTGTATTTTGTATGAAATAGTTTGAAAACCAGCTATTCTCACATAAGAAATGCATAAGAATAATAACAGATGGGTCAAGCCAAGGACTTTTAAATCAGTATTTGCAGCTTTTAATCATCTGACAAGAAGAAGTAAGAGTTATTACTTGGGTCAGAATAATGTATCCTAGTAGCTATAGGGTGTTGTCGTCTATCTATGTTACTGACTAAGTCTGTAATAGTTGCTGCTGGACATTCAATCAATCAAGGAAGTTTGCACAGAAAAAAATGTTTCATGCAGCTTTTACAAATTGCAAGCAATAATAAGTTTTGTATGTATGTGGTAGAAATCAAATGTTTTATCTGGGAGGTTACAAAATGTATTAAAAAAAGTGCATTTTGTTGAAAGTGTATAAAGGCCTTAATATTTTTGGAATAACAAATAGTGTTGAATGTAAAAAAAAGTTCAGATTGAAGACTTCAGAATTTAGACAGTACTCCTGCTAAAAATAATTATTCATATAAAATTTAAAGAAACTTTGGAAATAAACTTGATTACTTAAAAAAATTACACCATATTTTGTTTATACATCTTTTACATGTATATTGTTGTCCATCAATGATTAAATAATCTTTTTGTATGACAACTGTGACTTTACTGTTCCCATGTTCGCATGACAGGTGATGCATGCAAAGCAGGAGACACTCATCATGTCGACGCACCCAATCTCCCTCCTTTGGAAGTTCTTTAGATTCTGGGAGTTTCTGTTTGTTACCTTGATATGTCTCTTCCTTATCAAGTTAATAGATTTGTACATCAGCTAACAGCTCGCCTTTATTCATAGTGACAAAGCATTATTGAATTTGCAATTATCTTAGTACAAATCCTTACAGTTCTGTATTTTACAAAGAGTACATACCATAACCACACATGTAGGAATCAAACCCAGCTTCATGTGGAAACTCTGCTTCCACTGCAATATACAATAAATATCATTACACTGCATATAATTTACATCATTTTAAACTAAATTAGATCATACTTAAAATCTTTCAACAATGAACAATAATTAACCCAAACAGTTATGGAACTTAAGTGCTTTCATTTAATATTACATCGATGAAATGCAGAAGTATCTGACATAGCAAAATTAACAGACTAAACTGCATATATTGACATTCACCCTTACCATGCATGCAGGTACTATAACATGGCGGTACTATCCTGATTATGTTTTTTTGCTCCAATGGCTCTCCATCCTTTTGGAGGTCAACTGTATATGTATTTCGAAATTAAGGAATGTTCCCTCGGCCTATGGCTATTTATTAAGTTTATTAATGTTTCTCAAGTTAAAGATGCAGTTTGAGCCCAAATATGAACTTTGAAAATTGAAATCAGATTAAACATGTTTTTCTGGAGTGGTGTTTTTCCTACTGTGTGTGGCCCACGCAGTACGGAGGCCTAAAACTTAAAATAAAACAGTGTAAACGTGAGTGCATATAACTTGTGATTGTATTTATTATTATAATACGTTTATGGAAAAACTACTTTCAGTTCCAGATCAAGGTGAAGCTAAAAATCAGGGAAAATAAAACAAGAGTGCACAGGCTGAAATGTCTCGCCTGTTTTACTTATCATTGAATTTATGTTGAAAGTCTGTAACATGAAGGTTTTACTACAAGTATCACATAAACTTAACATTATCAATGTTCTATGATAATGAGGTCATGGTCAGATGAACCAGGCCAGACAGACATGTACACCTTACAATCATTCCATACACCAAATATAGTTGACCTGTTGCTTATATATAGTATTTGAAAAAACTGACAAAATTATGAAAACTTATCATTGACCAATGAACGATGAAAATGAGGTCAAGGTCAGATGATACCCGCCAGACAAACATTCACAACTTACAATTGTTCCATATACAAAACATACATGACATAGCTGACCTATTGCTTTTAGTATTTGAAAAACTGACAAAAACACAAAATCCTAACATTGACTAATGAACCATGAAAATGAGGTCAAGGTCAGATGATAACAGCTAGACCAACATGTACATATTACATTCATTCCATACACCAAATAGAGTTGACCTATTGCTTTTAGTACTTGAAAAACAGACCAAAACACAAAAATTTAACATTGACCAATGAACCATGAAAATGAGGTCAAGGTCATATGAAACCTGCTAGACTGACATGTACCCCTTACAATCATTCCATACACTACATTTATTTAATCTACTGCTTATAGTGTCTGAGAAACGGACCTAAACATGTAACTTTAACCTTGATAACTGATCCAAGAAATGAGGTAGAGGTCAGGTGAACCCTGTCTGACAGACATTTAGGTATTGTAAGGAACCCATATACCAAATATAGTTATCCTACTACTCATAATAAGTAAGAAATTCACATGACAAAAAAAAACATAATTTAGGCTGTGTTAGGATATACACCTAAGGCGGCTGTAGGTACCTGTGGGTACCCGTGGTTTGATATTTTGATATACATGTATAAAATATCAAAACCATAGGTACCAAAAGGTACCTAATGGTAACCGTAGGCCGCCTCAGGCATATATCCAAACACAGCCTTATTTTCAAGCAGTCACTGAACCATGAAAATGAGGTCAAGGACAATGGACATATGACAGACGGAAACTTTGTAACATAAGATATCTGCATACAAGGTATGAAGCATGCAGTTCTTCTAGCTTGTGAAATATAGCCTTATACAAATAGTAATACCTATGTCTCCCATACTGCGACTTTCATCGCAGGTGAGACAAAAACCTGATTTTTTGTTAAAATGTTTTTTTATAGACTGCCATACCTAGATCACTTTAACTAGACCCAAGCACTTTTGTGGGTTCACTGGGGTCCACTCTACATGCAGTCTACAGGAAGATACATCTATTAGCATCCCTGGGAATTCCAGATCAAGAAATAGGAAGAAAAATCATCAAAATTGATGCTTTTTACATCAGATGATCAACTTTATTTTACATTTTTATCCCAACACAATGCAATCAGATATTAAAATAAGCAACCATACATAAGCACAGCCAAAGCTTTTGAAATAACTTACTATAATGTTCACAACCAGGTCCCAGTGCTATGCTTGGTGTGTGTATCACATATTGTTGTCCTTTCTGGCTATCACAAAAACAAAAACAATGTTTGTTTACTTTTAATGATTTGTAAAGAGATTCCTAGTTTCTAATACAAGCAAAGACATGCATGTTTAGTATGTAATCTGTAATTTGGAAATAAATAAAAATGTAGTTTGTACATCAGCAATACATGTATTATGAACAGATGTATTTAATAAAAAACAACAAGATCTACCATATCAACACTTAACTTTTCTTTTAAGAGGTGTAGAATGAATTAAAAACAAACTGTCCCATCAATACTTTTTGTTACATTAATAATACTGAATACTTTTCTGTTTTTCCCACTTCTTTTTCTCTGACAGTATGATTTTATCTGTCCACTTATTATCACCCCCAGTTTTTGGTGGGGTTTGTGTTGCTTAGTCTTTAGTTTTCTATGTTGTGTCATCTGTACTTTTATTTGACTGTTTGTCTTTTTATTTTTGGCCATGACGTTGTCAGTTTGTTTTCGATCTATGAGTTTGACTGTCCCTCTGGTATCTTTCGTCCCTCTTTTATTATCAATGGATATATCTATATTTTTTTGGTAGTTGTTTAGAGATTGTAGCAAGCATAAGATCAACTAGTAAATATATCAAAATTTTACTGTTACCTGTGAAATGCCTCATACAAGCTGCCTAGTGCTGTTGATTGCAGTAAACCAGTATTTTCTAATGGCTGTCAAAGAGAGTTATATAATAATTATAATTATAAAGCAAAGTATGATTTGAAGTATTAAATGAAAATCTGTTCTAAAATCTAAAATTTTTATATAGAAAATAGGTCTGGCATGAAACAGATGATTTTTTTATTTCAAACAATCAAAAAATAATGCATGTACAAAATGTTGTCAAGTAGAAATGTTTTAACAGGAAAACAAAGGATATGGGGTATCCATCCATGCCACAAAATCAGTATATGCACAGCAAAAAATACACAAAAAGCAAAGGAACAGAAATTTTTTTGCTGTTATTCATCTCAAAGTAACAGTGAGGCATTCTTAAGTATATATACTACAGAATTTTCATCATACATGTAACATGTCTTGTGTGGTCTAAGATATCAGAAAATTTGCTTTTTGTGAATTTTCTATATTCCAACAAAAAATTGCAAAAAACATATACAGTACCATTAATTTTCATAAAGCTGCAAATATTTATCCACTTTCATACCACATAATGTTCTGCTATCCTTTTTCAAGAATTACAGCTCTTTTCATAATGCTAGCAAGACAAAGGTTTGTTTGGCTTGCTTGCTTTGTTAGTATCAGTGTTTGCTCAAGCACTGTAATTAAGATTGACATCTGAAAACAACATAAAAAGGTGGATCTAAACTTGTATACATTATATTTAAATTTGATTGGACATTATCAAATAATCAAATTTACCTATACACAGGTTTAACTCCGCCTACCTTTATTGTTTATAGATGTCAATCTTAATTACAATGCTTGAGCAAACATTTATACAAACAAAGCAAGCAAGTCAAACAAAACTTTGTCTTGCTAGCATTATGAAAAGAGCTCAACAAGTGCATATTGTTACTTTTTATGGGGAAAAAATAATATCAGCCTAAATGGATATAAATTTGGTAGCCATAAAAATTGATTATTTTTCAAATAATTTTAAATAGAAGCAAGACACAAACAATATTCAACATATTATATACTTATTGTTGCAACAGATCATATCTGGCACTTAACCTAACATACAGGTACATTATTGAGTGTATATCATAAACAAAATTTAAATAATGACTTACTTTTCTCAGGAAATTTGTTATGTGTTTTGTATCAATTATAACTGGAAATAATTTGTGTATTTCTGATTTAAACTCTTTATAACTACCTGAAAAATAAAAAGATAATAGATCTGGAAAGAAAAGATATTGTGTATAATTGTAATAACTATTTCAATTGTCCTGTGTTAAAACCCCAAAATGATAACAGGAATAACCAATAATATCAAACAACCAACCACACCAAGCACCAAAAGTATAATATCCATTATGCTTTTGTACATGCACATAATATTCCAGAGTTAAATCAGATTTGTGTGTACACCAACCTCCCTCTTGCTTTATATAGACCATATGTGATTACACTAAAAAAGACAATACAAAAACTAAATGGTTGATATACCAACATGATGACCACTAACTTGAACTAGAAAATAAAAGATAACACATAATTTGAAAAGCAGACTCAAAATGTGTTAACTATTACAGAAAGGTTTCTTCTAAGGTAGCCACAGCTACTCGTTGAATACTGCTGTTCAAGAAAACAAATAAATAGTAGCAAACTGAATTTCATTTTTCAAATGAAATCAAAACTTGATTTGATTGATCATGCATGAAAGTAAGTCTGCTAAACAATTTCCAACAACTAACATTTCATGCAAGCACACAAAACATTTTGTAATGCTTGAAATTAAGAAAACTCTCATTATTTTAAAATTCAAAATTTCTTACAAATATTTTAATCAACAATTAAATCATTTTAATTTTAGTTCTGAATATATCAGATTTTTTCATTGACACAGAAGTACAAATACAGCAAATTTTCTCATTAATTCTTCAAAAACATTTTAAAGCAAGCATCATATAAATAATTCCTTTCATTCATTCGATCGACATAACTTAAAAAGAATCTTAAATGTTGTCTTATTTATATAACAATCCGACATAATAGTTGTGATACAATAATTCATTTATTTAAATCAAATATCAGTCTGATATTTAATACTATATAACAGAACTTACGTGGTAAATATTTGTGAAACTTGTCATAATAAAGAAGTAAGTCCATCAACATATTGTGTCCTAGTATTGGCTGAAATAAAGAGATCTTGATACTATAAAACATAGAAATACACAATGCAAGGAATCTGTAATTAAAAATTTAAGGGGCAAAACTTTTTTCAAAAAGATGGTCTGTTTTCAATAGTTTATTCACATGTAAATATCATCATGAAAGATTAAAAGTTTTCAAAAGTCTTAATTTTTAAGTACAAATTAAAATCCAGTAGTACACTCATCTACATAATCACTACAATCACTATCTTATATATAATAAACTTATAATCTTAAATTAATGTGATGCATAATAATCATTCCCTTAGCAGTGGCGGATCCAGAAACTTTCATAAGGGGGCCCACTGACTGCCAAAGAGGGGGCCTTCTCCAGTCATGCTTCAGTGATTCACTAAAAAATCAGCCAAATTTTCCCACAAAAGGGGGGGCCTGGGCACCCTGACCCCCTTCCCCCTCCCCAAAATCTGCCTCTGCTTAGATATCACTATATCTTAATTATGCATGTAGGGTTCAAAATGCCTATGCTTTAGTCTTTAGTGTTGTCTGTTATAAATATGTGCACACTTTTTGTTTTGATTTGTCTCAATATGGAGTTTCCCTCTTTTTTTTTCTTTCTTAAAATAATAAAATGTTTCAGTATTCTTGTATTTCTAACTATATAACACTTAAATAACAAGTCTTACCTTTTTTGCTTCAGTGAGTAATCTAAACACTCTTGTAAATCCTACTAAACTGTTTTTTAATCTGGAAAATGAAATAACATTTAATATTTATTGTGTTTTCCACAACTTTCCAAAGCACGCTGTTTAGACTTATAGTCTTTAATGTCTTGAAGAAGTAGAGCATGCATTAAACATTGTACATTTTGTTGTGTTGCTTTGTTGCTGTATCATTGACATGGATTCATTTCATTCACTGGGTATTGATTTTTGTGGTTTCATTTGGTACTAATGAATCACAGATTTTTATGTTGAACCAAACACAAAACTCCTACCGTAGAAAGGCTTGTATAGTCCGCGGTTTTATTCTCCAAAATTGGACCTTCCAGACGGGGTGCGGACTATAGAGTACAATAAGCAAGAAATAAGAGAAAAATTTCAATTTCGCGGGCGAAGTGGTTTGTTTACGTTCCGCCATCTTTGTTATTTATATTGTAGAGGGCGCTCTTATCATTTTTCAAACTAATAATTTTAACTCATCCATATTAATAAGTTATTTCTATTCAATATCAAATTAATACTAATAAATATGAAAACTAAACCTTTCATATCAAAATTCTCGTTTCTTTTCAATGCATTGGTTGAAATAAACTGGTATCTGCTTGATTGAAACGATACAAACATAGTGAAAAAGACAACCGTAAACCAGCTTAGAATTTGTAAACTACAAAACGTAATCGGTTATTGTTCGTTCCGTTTTGGTGTTTCATACTGACTAATATGGTTTGTATTAGCTTAAGACCCTTCAAACATTAATGTGATAGATATATTAAAGACTGTTTTACAAAAAGATGGAACTGTTTTACTTTCAAAGTCGTATTATAGTGATATCTGTTATGTACGGATTTCGACTCTCACCGGTTAATTTCTTCTTTTACACGTGCTTTTTAAACTTCCTGTTTAAACATACACAAGTTTCTAAATTGTTTTTTAAGTGAATTAAACTTATTTTAACAATTATGAAGCGTTCTAGAATCATTTACAAGCAGTTTCAGCTTCTGTTTGATGATGGAAAACAGGTTTTTCCAAGAAAATACCGCAAACGACCGCACAGGATTTGAAATTACCGGAGTTTCATTAGACCTTTTCTAACAGTTACAAAAAGTTTTTTTACCTAAAATTTCGTGGGGAGAAGGGGGTGCAGACTATGTACCACTGCGAACTATACAAGCCTTTCTACGGTACATAGGCTATTATATATGCAACAAACTCAAATACACAAGAAAATACCATTTCCCCAAAATCCATGAAAATTTACTATTAATGATTGAATGAATATACAGCATATAAATCTTTTATTTACCACTAAACTAGAGAATTCATTGAACTATATATCTATCAACTTCAACAATGTCACTCGAGCTCAAATTGTTCAAACTGCTTTCAAAAACTCAACTTTTGTAACCAAAATGTATAAAATAAAATAAGGGCTATTCAAATCATATATACATGTATGTAGGAGGGGACAAAGCAAATATTTATTTTAGGGCTTGGTCATTGGTCAATAAAGGTTTTTAAAGCCCCCTTCCTTCTTGCCCACATCCAATTTCATGGATTAACTTTCATCAAAGGTTGCTTACACACAAAACAAATCAAAATTTGATTTACAGAAAAAAAATCAAGAATTTGCAAGAACTTACAATGTAGCTTGCTGTTCTTTTGACTGAACTTCTTCTTTCTCTAATGCTTTTCTCTTCTCTTCACCTATTTTCTCAATTGTTATCTGAAATGAATATTACACTGTTTCAATATATATTCACATTTAACAACATGTTCAACCATTAGGCCCGAGAACACAGTTATTTCGTAGTGCATTTATTTTTAGACAAAATATTCAAATTAAAAAAATCGCACCAGCTCTATCTCAAAAACATTTTTACAGTGTAGTGGACTACTATTGGGACAAATAGTATCAAAATTATAGAAAAGTATACCAGCTCTAACTCAAAATATTGACAATTTTATATTAAGGGGGTCTAAAATTCAGTTTAACAGCTTCAGACATGCTAGTTTTTGACCTTCTTTAACTGGATCAAATCACTACTTAACATAAAGATTCAGCACTCAAATATTTTTAATATGTAATTTGATCCCCTTTCTTAAGGTTTCGAACAAAATATAAATAAATAAATTTGGAAAGTGTATGAAAAAATTTTGCAAGTTATACACTGTCCACACTAGGAACTATATTTGTAGACAACAAAAATCTAAGGATGATAACTGTGTCCTTGGACCATTAATATCTTAAACACATGACAAAGTTGTAATTGGTTTAAATGATTTGTATTAAAATTAACAACACAGACCACATTGTTTTTGGAGGTCATTTGTGTATCTTTCAAACAGAACTTGAAGTCGACAATTAATCAACAGAGTATAGATAGTAATAACTCAGTCCACTCACTCATAAATTGAATAAAACCCAAAAGATTTCAAGTTAATGAGAAAAAGTCTGCTTTTTGATACACTAAATGAAATCATGAATGATTATGACTATTTTGATTTTAAGCAATGTATGTAGTAATTTTTTCTATAGCATATCAAAAGTACAGTTTTTATAATATTCTTATTTTCTATAAGCATTTTTGTATCAGCTATCTTATATTTTATTATAAAATTCTGTCGTTTAAATTTCTTTCTATTCATTTAACATGTTTAATTATGCCTTTTCCCTGTATATGTATAATCCCTACAAAATGATTAACTTTTTCACAACATGAAAATAAGCTTGGTGACCTATAACTTTTATTATATTTTGGTAAATAGCATGATATATGAAACTAAATTTCAGCAAAGTATGATTATTGGTTATCCCACTTTATTATCTGAACACATCATTTATTTCCACAAAAAAACCAATAATCCTATTAATATGATAACAGACTATTTGTTCTTATGAAAATAAATGGATATTTACAGAATCAATTTGTCTGCATTATACATAATTTGAATGACACAAGCTGTAAAATTAATGTGTAAATGTGTCTGTTTGACCAACGAAATTGAAGCTTACAAACAACTTTAAAAGGATTTATTTTACTATTTTTTCATATGAAAACAAACAGTTATTTACAAATTTATTTATCTACATAAGAATTTGTAAATGCAATGTCACAAATTTTACATTTAATGTGCAAATGTGTCAGTTTGCCCAATGAATTTCAAGCTTGCATACAACTTATTTTCCATAATCTTAGCTACCTTAGTTTTATCTATAGTGGTCCATATATCTGGAAATCTATTTCTTAATTCTGAATGCACTATATAATCCTGTGTATACAATAAATCTGTAAAAAGATGAGAAATAAACTTTATTAATTTTAATGACCATATGAAAAAAAACACATGCATTTCTTAAAATTTTGGACTAAATTAATTCTTTATGGGTCCAAAAATGAACTTTATATAACTTGTTCTATCAAATCTGGTACACACTTTACTGTTCCTTTAATTTGATTTGAAAAATACCAAATCTACATGTATAAAAAGTATGTAGTTTGATTTTTTTGTATAAAAAAAAATAAAAAATTTCACCAACAAGATGTTTTAGGCTGTAATATGACACTTATCATACTTAAAGAAATAATCTAAAAATATGATTTACTTTTTCAGAGTCCAAAAATGTTTGACCCCCACCAAAAGTTGAGATTTAAAAGTGCCTTCCCTGGGCCCCATGTATGCTTGCATGCAACATTCCTTAGATAATAAGCCTATGACTTGTATACATTGAATATTTAGAAATTTTTATTTTCTGTATAAACATATCATTTTAAAAAGGTGTTGAAAACTTAATTCATTTTCAAAAATCATCTTTTAATAATGTAACATTAACACCTGCTATCTTCTGAAGAAAAGAATGATTAACTGATTGATTGATTGTTGGTGTTTAACGCCACTTTTGGCACTCTTTGCTATATCATCGCCACCCGTTTTTATTGATGAAGGAACCCAAAGTACCCTTTGAAGACCATCTAGCTTCAGCAAGAAAACTTGCAATCTTTAGTTAATTAAAATTGGAGTCAAAAGTATCTTGCCCAAGTATAATTCAGTCACATATACAGTATATGCTGACAGGCTAGTGATCACTATTTATACCACTCAGCCTCTGAGGCCCTAACAAACAGAATAATTGATTGATAAGAATAGATATAAGAAGATGTGGTATGAGTGCCAATGAGACAACTCTCCATCCAAGTCAAAATTTATAAAAGAGTCTGTTTTGTGCAAAGAAGAAAACAGATCAAAGAGAGTGCACTTCTAATAGTGTCCTTCACCTTCATCATCTTTAACTATTTCTAGCGGTTTATCAGTTTCTGTACCAAACATCCACTCTGCTACAGTAGATAACAACTTCTGTATCGCTGATTCATCCACATCTCTACAGAACAAACAAAATAATGAATTTCAATGAAGAAAACAAATAGTTGAACCAAAAATAAACAATACTGTGGTTTCATTTATTTTCATGGGTTGAGGAAAACTTGCACTTTCGTGGGGATTTGATTTCGTGGTTTTGCCAATCGCTGCATACAAAGCCTATAGAAAATGTGCAATTCTTTGAACATTTGAATTTGAGGTCTATCTTTACCCACGAAAACCATGAAAATAGGTATCCAATGAATTATAATGAATCCACAGTATCGGATTTTCTAATTAACAATAAAAGGGCCGACAATTAAATGTTTTATCAGCTACAATATTTGATTGATTTGAAGGGTCAAAGAACTCTCAAAAATGGTATTAAGGGCAAATCAACCCTGCCAGTGGAATATGTTTCATGCATAAATGTACATTCATTAATCATGTTGATCACATAGGCAAACAAAACCAAAATTGTTCACCAGGAACTCATGTAAACCTTTGGTTAAGTCACCTATAGCAAGCACACCTGCCACTTGGGGGATTCTAACTCACAACCTCAGTGTTGACAGGTTAGTGATACAGAAGTGCGACTACTTAGACCACTCTGCCACAAAGGCCCCTATCAGACAAAATGATTTTTTTTTCGGCACTAATTGATGCAATATATTAATGAATGTACATACCTTTCTACACCTTGAAACAAGTCTTTTCTATCCAGATACTGTTGTATTTGTTGTTCTTGCTCAGCATTTAGGTAGGAAATACCATCATATATAAACTAAAACACACAGTTTTTTTTTTACTTCTATTAGTGTATTTTAAACTCATTTATTAAAATTAGTCAAAGTCATAAGAGTTATCCATTTCGATCATATCATTTTTGTTCAATCTTATTTCCTAAAAGGAATGAAAACTTCATTGAGTTTGCTGTACTACTAATTTGAACTACCATATTTGGCCATCACACTTTGAATCAGGTTGGATTTTTTTTCTCTTCAGATTTTGTCATCCCTGGACGATTTAAAGCTCACAGATTATAAGTTTCATTCATTGTTGTAGGCTATAGGGTAACCTATTAATGTTCATGTCTTTGTCCTTTGATCATTGGAGATTGACAATAATACCACCTTTCCTTGTTTTTATTTCATTAACAATTAATAGCTAAGGTGTTTCGTGAATTCAATTAGCACATACTTACAACTTCTCGTCCAATCAAATTGCTTGAAATAGCCATCTAATTTTCATAGTACATACTTTTCCCGTGTACTAAGTAACTATGCATGAATGACCACAAGGGTAAGATTTCATTGTATCGTAATCAAGATATTAAACAAAAAATGCCACTGGCTATTTTGAAATAAAATGCTGTGTTTCAAATTAAATAGTTTGTATTTAGTTTTGACATTGATTTTTAAATATCCTGCTATTAAAATCTTTGGATCTAAAAAATGTTTTTGATGATTGCAAGTTTCTTTCATTTAAATAAAAAGAAACAAAAATGGGGACTAACTGTGCACCACTTATTGCGGACCTTTTTTTGTATTGCTATGAGTTACAATTTATGACAAAAATCAGTAAAGACCCATCGAAACAACATCTGATACACAAATTTAATAATACTTTTAGATATTTGGATGATATTTTGGCTCTCAATAATGACGACTTCAGTATGTATACTAAAGAAATTTATCCTGTTGAACTTACTTTAAATAAAGCTAATACTAACAATGACCACTGCCCTTTCCTCGATCTTGATATCTATATCATTAACGGAAAGCTTAATACTAAAATATATGATAAAAGAGATGATTTTTCATTTCCTATCGTTAATTATCCATTTTTAGATGGTGACGTTCCCTTGTCACCATCTTACGGTGTTTATATATCTCAACTTGTACGATTCGCTCGTGTATGTAACAATGTTTTAGATTTTAACGAGAGAAATTTATGTATTACTGAAAAATTATTACACCAGGGTTTTCGATATCACAAACTAGTCAAAACATTTACTAAATTTTATCATCGGTATAAGGACATCATTCGTAAATATAGCTCAACATGCAGACTTCTTATACGTTCAGGTATTTCACATCCAATTTTTTATGGAAATATTCTTTATAAAGCACAAAAATGTCAGTATTCACCTCTGAAACTAACAAAACCTTTAAATAGACTTATTAAGAAGGGATATAGTTACGATACTGTTGTCAGGTCATTAAAGATTGCATATTTTGGCGTTAATATTGATTCACTTATAGGGTCTTTGCATCGGCACTAAACACATTTATTTAAAAACCAGTTGTTGGCATGACACGGGTTATGTTCTTCTCATATATGTTATGATGGTATGATACTAAACCCCTAACGGGAAGGATTGTGCCTGATATTCATATGATGAAGACATAATCTTTCAATCAGTTTAATTGAAGTCTGGAGCTGGCATGTCAGTTAACTGCTAGTAGTCTGTTGTTATTTATGTATTATTGTCATTTTGTTTATTTTCTTTGGTTACATCTTCTGACATCAGACTCGGACTTCTCTTGAACTGAATTTTAATGTGCGTATTGTTATGCGTTTACTTTTCTACATTGGCTAGAGGTATAGGGGGAGGGTTGAGATCTCATAAACATGTTTAACCCCGCCGCATTTTTGCGCCTGTCCCAAGTCAGGAGCCTCTAGCCTTTGTTAGTCTTGTATTATTTTTAATTTTAGTTTCTTGTGTACAATTTGGAGTTTAGTATGGCGTTCATTATCACTGAACTAGTATATATATTTGTTTAGGGGCCAGCTGAAGGACGCCTCCGGGTGCGGGAATTTCTCGCTGCATTGAAGACCTGTTGGTGGCCTTCTGCTGTTGTCTGTTCTGTGGTCGGGTTGTTGTCTCTTTGACACATTCCCCATTTCCATTCTCAATTTTATTCTTTATACCTTGATTAGAGTACAACACCATCTTAAAATTGTGATAATTTATCATCCATGCAATTACTCGTACACAAAAAAGTGTGTACTATGAAACCTTGTGAAGGGAAATTAAGGCAACTTGATCTATTTCGTCATAAATTGATTGATTAATTGATTATTGGTTGCTTAATGTCCAGTGGCAAATATTTCATGCATGTTCAGGACGATGTCATGAATTGAAAAAACGTGATAATGTGCCACCTATATATATATATATAAGAACATTAGTTGTTCGACCTGTTAGTCAAATGCGTTTTGTTAAAATATACTTTTTCACTTTTTTGGTCTTTTAGAAAATGTTGTTTGTGCTGTATTTAGACCCCTCTACCAAGAAATTTGTTTTGCATGCACACGTATAAAAATTGCGGTTTTTATCCAACGCAATCATAGGTTTGAACGTTGTTTTCAATTTAGACTTGTTTATATTTTTTCGTTTGGGCTTGTATTATATTTGCCTTCGGGTTTATATGATCCGTTCATCCTATTTCGACTCTTCAAAATTCAAGAGTCTATCCTAAATTGAGGTAAATTATAATGGCCTTCCAAATACTGTTTCGATTCCTTACATCACTGAAGAGACATTAATTGTCGAAATCCGGATATGGTGTACAAAAACCATTGCACCTTTTGTTTGCGGTATATCATCTTTTCCGCAAGTTTATTGTTTTCTGTTAAGTATTAAATTTAAACTTAAGATCCATTTATTACATCGGTGAACCCCATGTCCCTATTCAAAAGCATTGGTCGTTCAAAAAAAGGGTTTTCAAGACCCCAGAACACCACCCCCCACCCCCACCCCTCACCCCCCTGGATCTGCCACTGCATACTATCTATATGTTTAAAATTTATTATAGCTTCAGTTTTACTGTGAAATTGAAAAATGTTTTCAAGACATGTAAAGCTTCCACTGCAATTTAATTATTGCCTGCTTTTGGTCAATGTATTTTGTCATCTTACCATGTAAAGAAGTACATGTATAGTAAAGCACCGCTTTATATCAATCAACATACTTACACCAGCAGCTACCATCTTTTCATTCTGGAGTCAAGGGCCTTTTGAAATCACATATTTTACAATGATACTAGTGAGTAGATTTACAAAACTTCGTTAATGAGTTATGTTTTACAAACACCTGTGATACAAGTAGTCAGCCAAAATAAACTATCAATAAACCAATTAAAAGATTACTAGAGTTGTAAATATGTGCTAAATTGGATAGTCTATGCCCCTCGCTCTAAATTTCATAGTATATACCTTTCCATAGACTAACCTAGACTTAAAATATATTTGCTGTAGAAAACTGAACTGATAACTCCATTCTATACTTATATAAACATACCTTATTGAAATCAAAATTGTACTTGCAAAGAAACCTCAAACTGCTAGCCTGTAATGAGAAGAAATAAAGTTAGGATGAAACATCTTAACCCTATTTCGAAAGGCCAACATATCTTTATAAACATTTAAAGTGCTTTGGTATAAACATAAATAAGGCTATTGGTACATATCTATATCCTTTTTTTTCAGATATATATTTTCATTGAAGAGGATAATTATTTATTTCTATACATTCATACACTTCAATGTGTGTGTGTTTTGATAAATGAGAGGGTTATTGATGGAGATAGCAAAGGAGCAATTTTCAATGGTGTATTCTTACCTGACAAGTGAACCTAACATCAACAGGTCCAAATACAGGTGGGTACAGGTGAAAATTAAAGGTGTGTGCTATATATCTAAATAATAAAGATCAAATCAGTATTAAATACAATTCAATATTGCATTCCTTTCTATAACAGGCAGGACAATTTTCATAGTAAGGTCAACCATGTTTGTGCTGTGGTTATTTTTCATTAAATCAGCCTAAAAACTGAAAATGTTAACATAGGTGCGAATTATTTAAGTAGATGGACATTAAAAATTTAAACATGATTAAATTTGCATTTCTTTTTGTTTATATAATTTTTTGTTTTTTATTGATTAAATGGTCATTCTTACTCATACTTTGGAACATGCAACAAATATACGTTTTTTCAAAGTCTTCAGTTTGGCTGCATTCAAGACAAGCACCGACATAGTTGAGAGGTTCAACCTGTCTTCCAATAGGAAGTATTTTTCTCTAATGAGAAAGATAAATTTGACACATAATTTTTTTATTTGTTACTTGTTTTGGCTTTGAACTAGCTCTGTGATTATTCTCAGATTAGTACTCTTCTCTTTTTTATTGTTAGGGATACATAAATACCCTGTCTTTTTGTTAGATGTTTTTCTGCTTTGAAGCAATCTAATGCGTTTTAAGCCCTTTTCCATTGATTTTATAGGATGTTCTTATTTTGTGCAGGAACACCACTGTCCAAGGTTAGAGGAGGTTTAAGCACTCACAAAAATGTTTAACCCAGCCACATTCTGTATGGGTCTATCCGAAATTAGGAGCCTACGGTTCAATTTTGATTCATGTCTGACAGTCATATTTTTTTTCATCAATAGTTTTGTTATAAATTAGGCTGTTAGTTTTTCTGAATTGAATTTTCATATTTCACATCTCTGGGCCTTTTATAGCCTAATATACTGTATGGGTATTTTCTCATTGTTGACATGGTTGAAGGCCATACAGTTGTCTATAATTGCTTACATTCACTTCAGTCATTTGAACTTTGGTGGATAGTTGTATCATTGAAAATCATACCACACCTCCATATATTTATTCATTTTTATATAGATTAGACAGTTGGGTATCCGTTTTAATAGGTACCTTAGAATGTTAGATATGTATATATATTTGCATATTGCAATCTGCAGTTAAAATGGCAAATAAACAAAATAGTTTTTCATATCCTTATCCCAAAGTTAACAGGATAAAAATATACACTTTTAAAATTTTTCTTTTTATTACATGTGTGTGGGGTATACAGCATTCATAGCAACATAACAAAATTATATCATATGCATGATACTAGTATAGTACACGAAAAACCTACTTGTTTTCTGAGTCAGGATCTTTCACAAATGCTGAGACACCTGAAATATATGAAAAAATTATTGGAATTTAGTATCAAACAATTCATTTTCTACATTCTATATATTAATTTCTAAGGTGTTTTTTTTTTATCATAACCAATTATGATAATATATAAAGCATAAGTGTTCAAAACACAGAATGATGGTGGAGTTAATCCTTTTTTAACTACAGATTTATCAAGCTTAAATTTCAATTCATTTGTACAAATAAAATAGAATCTTTTATTGATATAAAATATTTATGTACATTTTTTTTTATTTACTCATGTAACTCTCTTGGTCACATGCTTTTTATAAAATTTAATTCAGGGATAGAAATACAAAATTTAATTTCGCAAGAACTTCCATACTGCATATATATTTATCTTTGTAAACATCAAATGTCAACTGTCTATTCTGTCTCGTTTCTTATACAGTACGGGTAGAGACTTATTATTATGGATGTCTTAATCCGTCTAGATGACAGACTGGTCGGACAGTTGTCTCAGTGTAATTAACACCTGCTGTGATATTAACCTGTACAATATCCGAGTGGAAGGTCGTAAATCAATCTGTACCAGCTTGATTAGAATTAAATTTTACCTGTACAGATATTTTAGTATTTATGGAGGATAGATAATAAATGTAAAATATTGTTTTGTATTCAAACAAAAATTACAATAAAAATAAAAATTTAATATCATGAATATGGGATCAACTTTTTTTTTAACTTGAAAATGAAAGAAAGACGATTTTTATCAATGTACTGTAAAAATGTGTTGCCAATTATAATAATTGTGTTTGTGCCAATAAACTATTTGTATTAGTATTTGTAAACCGTAAATATTTTATTTTATTCAAAATTATAACAACCAGGACTGTTTTCAATCGAAGTTTTAATCAAAATGTTGAGACATCAATCCCGTAAATTATACGCGTTTTCGTTGATGGTTACAATATTTCCCCTTTTTAACGTCCTGTTCCTTTATGTTATTAATAGAAACACAATTTTAAGTATAAGGCCAACATATCGTATTTATAAAGTATATAAACATATTGAATATAGGCATTGTGAATAAACTGTTATTTTCCTTTCGATACCACGTTCCCCGTCGGAGCCTCTACGTCTATTCATACCTGTCAATCATTTCTCGCAAGTAAAACAATTTGGTCAGCCAGATCATCCGTGCTTTCTAATTTGACATATATTTCCCATTAATCTCTTTGAAACAATTGTTTTTTTTACAATATTTATAACGCCATGATCATCTTTCGATTCCTAGTTTTTATATAAAAAAAACTTTTCATATGCACGTCAATATTCTATGACCCAGCATTATTTTAAATTTTGTTTTGTTAATAAATTTACATATAAATGGAAATAACAGATTTGTTGACACTCGTTGTATTATAACAAAGATATTGCCTTTCTATTTTCATGTTTGAAATTTTAATGAAAATCGTTTTTTTTATAAACATATTTTACGAATTGTGTCAATCAATACACGAAGATCAAAGTTTTACACTATTCATGATCAGCCGTCTTTACTTTTGCGTCGTATTTCTAGCCATTCTAAAGCTCGTGCAGTCAGTAAGATTTTGTAAATCGATGTTGGCAGTTTAAATTGTATAATTCCCGAACTTTAAAGAAGGTGTCAGAATAAATTATTTAAATAGGAATCTGGGTGTTGACTGATAAATATAATAAATAAAATAGTTAAAGAATACTAAAGCTTGTTTTGTTAATATGTACAAGGATTAAATTTTCTATTCTGGTAACTCAATTATTAATGGATCTAGATCAAGAGCCTCAAAACTAACGTACAATACTGCCAACCATTATGTATCAAATTAAATCATGAATGGATTTTCCCACGGTCGGTCAGTAAGGTCACCTGTGTTAACTGTTACGATATTTCCCGCCATATGAAAATCACGTGCATTTGACAAAATTAATCCCAGCTATTTTTAGCATTCAACATTGTATTGTGAGTGAAGTCAAGTTCAAAGTTCAACCACATGCTGTTGATCACTGATATGTGTATCATTTTCTTTTCACGGCAAATATATTTTTTAGATTGGTGTCAAAAATACAACATACAAGTTAACATGCATTTTGCGTAAATTAATATTATGCAATTAAGAGTCAATGCAGCACCATAAAATTATTTAAATGGGAGTAATTGCATTTCTTAAGACTACAAATCATAGTAAATATTTAATTAACTGGTCATCAAACGATTGAATGCTTCTAGTTTTAATGTCCATTCATGTCAGTGGCAATTATTTCATGCATATTTAACAAACACAGAAATATCAAAATAAACCTAATTCCTGAGAAGAATCGTTATCTTCTTCTAGTGTTATTATTTGCGTACTACTTTAGTTATATATCACCAATTTTCGGACAATATTTGTTTACAGTAAAAAGTAAATTCACAATTATAAAGAATCACCAAACTACTAGTATTCAAGTATTGCTCACTGTAAGTCTGTCTGCGCGGCAAAATGCATATTTGAGTTGAGTCTAATTTAGTTGGCCAAAATTATTGTGTAGTTAGGACTTATTTTTATTTCAGAACTGACCCAACGCAGACTGAAAATTAAATACAAATGTAGTGTTGTCAAACTAAAACGTATGCAGCAGCACTTTGCACATCATTCTGCTAATCAATGGGTTTACGTGGAAAATAAATCAGTAAAACAAAAATAACCTTCCAGAAATAAAAAAGAAAATATTTTAAAAACTGTATGCCAACAAATACGAAAAAGATACATAACAAAAATAAACCAGGGAACATAAAAAATAATATTTTGAGGAATATAAACAGCATTTGAAATATAAAAAGCCATAAATAAAAAAAATAGGCTATTTTTATTAAAACAAAGTTGTCTCCAGTACTTCACCTGTAAAGATATTTTATGTCAAGTACGATGTAGAACTAATCAATAAAGTGACTGAGTGGTTTAAATCACAGGTAACCTGATTCTGAAATCAGTGAAGCGTAATAATCTAGTTGCACGGATTGAGATGAAAGGACAATTATATTACCGTTCACACCTGGATCTGTTGATTAATGACCATACTACCTACCATAAAAAAGTCGGATTATTCATTTCCGACATGTCCCAGTCCGTTATTTATAGTAATAAGTCTCTACCCGTACTGTACATGTCTTATGAAATACATATTTCTTGAATACTCCATGTTATGTTAATGTATATGAAATTTGATATTAAATACTTTTTCTGCCATTGCATATATATATCAGACTGAAAACACAAGGTACAATATTGAATTGGTAAAACCTGATGAAATCATGACCTAAGATGACTCAAATGAGTAAAATAAGTATGCCAGTTCCCATTGACTTAGCTTACTGACAGAAGTTCTACAGTAAAGCAATTACAGAGTGAAAAAAAAGATTATCCTTTATTTCTTGATAGAACAAAGTGTGCAGATTGTAAATTAATTAGAAATTTACAAAACTTGTAATGTTAAGTACATGTACCATAAAACATCATGTCCTAGTCCTGATAGTTAGATAATTTTTTTTCTAAGCAAGAAATTGGAAAAATGCAGTAGCATATCACTTTTCTTAGACACATTATAAATACAAATGTAGAATGTATCTATGGGACACAGTTGGGGACACAGATGATGCCCTGGCTTGCATTTAACTTTATAAAGGGACATAACTCAAGAACAGAAAAAGTGATGCAACCATAATTCCAATTTCATCTGTGTTTTGTGTTAATAATCATAGTGTATAAGTTTCATAATATTTGGTTGAGGCAAACTAAAGTTACAGAACAGAAAGTAATTTTGGGACGTACAGACTGATAATGTCCCTTCCACTGTAGCATGGACATAATAAACATGATAAAAATTCTTGATACTGATTACTCCCAGACTTCAAACTTGAAAATATTAAAAATGACCCCTTACCTATCTGACATATTGTTATGTTGGATATGGTTCTTCTAAGTTTTGCATATCTTTCTTCACTTGTATCAAATAAAGTACTTTTAGTCTGTTTGTTTAGTTGTAATCCAGTGAATTCTGCATCTAAAGCTGAGAAAGAAAGACAAAATTGTTAGCTCTTTAAATTCATTTACAATCATACTATAAAACAATATATAATATATATATCATGTCCTCTTTTCCGCAAATGTGATCTAATTATGAATTCGAATTATCACTGGGTTTGTACTTCAATGAGCAACAGGACGGATGCCACATGACCAGGATCTTCTTACCATTCCAGACATCTGAGATCAACCCCAGTTGTAGATGAGGTTCGTGATGCACAGTTTAGTTTTCTATGTTGTTGTTTTGTAAACATGTTTTTTGTCTTGGTTGTTTTTAGTTTTTTGTCATGGCATTGTCATTTCCTTTTCGACTTATGAGTGATTGTCCATGGAAATCTTTCAATGTCTTGATTTGGTCAACAGCTGTTATATATATTTTGTGTTGGGCACTTAAGAAAATTGATACCACACAAATAAAAGTACTTTCATGGTGTATATTTTTAATGTTTATCATGTTTATTACATAGAATTATAGGCAATGTCATTTTTGAAAATTACCTAAAAACATTTACATTTGATCGTGGGTAGATGCTGGGGGTTATCTAGCAGCAGATGAGGACATGTAATATGTGACCTACCCAATTAGACTTATCACCGGGTTTGTACTAAGACGAGTAACACAACGGGTACCACATGTGGAGCAGGATCTGCTTACCCTTCGAAAGCACCCAAGATCATCCCCAGTTTTTGGTGGGGTTAGTGTTGCTTAATCTTTAGTCCAAATAATTATAACGTCTTGAAAAGCTATTATATTATTTCGCTTTGACGCCTTACAGCGACGTCATATAAAGCTGAAGCCATCTTTTTTGGTTGGATTTTGACCGAATTTTGCTCTCAACTTTGAGTCCATATTTAGCCATAAAACTTTCATTGAAGGCTAGACATTTTTGCATATATACAAATTCTTACCTTTTATGTGTTTGTTTGTGCAAAATATTTCCAATTTTATAATTTCCTAAATAATGGTAAAATAAGTAACAATTCCATCAGAGGTGGACGATTATCTACTGCTTTATTTAAAACGTTTATCTGATTTCTTTTTAGGGAGGGATAAAATAAATTTTTGCAATAACCTCAGTAAAACTTGACAGACCTGATTTTCCGGAATGTTTGTTTTTATATTCTCCGGAAATTCTGGTCTGTCAAATTTTACATGTTTTACAGAGTTTGGTGCAAAAATATATTTTATACTCCAAAAGTTAGGCGTCTTAAGGAGAAATCAGCTAAACAATTTAATAAAGCAGTGAATTCACTGAAAATATCAGTTCGCCGTTATGAGGTCGTGTGTCAAAGCAAAAAAATATAATAGCTTTCAAGACATCATAATTATTTGGACTACTTACTTGTGACTTATTAGTCTATAGTTTTCTATGTTGTGTTTCATGTTCTATTGGTTATCTGTTGGGTTTTTTCTTTTTGATCATGGCGTTGTCAGTTTATTTTCAACTTACAAGTTTGAATGTCTCTCAGATATTTTTCACCTCTCTTTTACAGACCGAGAGTCGAGGCAGTTTTGGATTTTGACTTAACACAAGATCATATTTTATTCTGGATACATACAAGTACAAAAACTGGAGAAGGTAAACAGTGTTCTAGAATTCCCATTTCCCGTCAACCGTGGCAAGTTGATTTAGGTCACGGGAACGTGAAAATTCAAACCTTTGTTGTCCGTGGGCAAGTAAAATTAAATTACAGAAACTTCCTATTCATGCATATCAAACGGTTGATGAAACAATTGTATTCTTTTATTTCAATCAAAGTCGCAAAGCAAGATCGTTGTTGTTGGTGTAAATTATGCAGGGATTCTAAAGTCTAGGGGAGATAAATGTGCGCACGTGTTTCACGATCACCATCATAAATAAGCTTTATAGCTAAACAAAGTGAAATCCACGATTTCAAGTATCCATCTAATGTAGACGCAAAAACTAAAATCCGGAATGCAAACGGTAAGATGTAATATCCGGATCTCAAATTCGTGATTTTTTGGGAGTAATATTATCACTTTTTTGTGCCAATATATTTGAATTACTGATGTTATGTCACAAATAGACAAGGTTCAAACTAAAATTAATTTATTTCAAAATAAAATTAATATATTCCATCAAATGTTTTGTAAATCTGATGAACATGACCATGATGACATTGCATTAATATCAACACAATCACAAGCTAGTTAGACAAACTAATTAATTCTAAAGGAAACAAGAGAGTTCATAATTTCAAATTGAACTATAAATGTACATGTATAAACATGCAATGAAAGGAATAACAAAATTATGAAAACATTTTCAAAATAGTATAAAATTAAGGGAAAGTTCATTAAACTTGTCATTAAACCTAGAACACTGCTAAAGGTATTTCAAAATATTTTTTAATGTCATTTTACAATGTAAAAATAATTGTTGGCTGGTGAGATAAAGTTTGAAATCATTTTTACTTTAAAACTCTTAAGGAGGCTCGAGGGTACAAAAATTTCAGCAAAAACTTAAACATTTTTTTTTTCAATACAAATTTTATGTATTACTTTATTAGTTTTTACTTTATCATATGGTACAAAAATCAACCATAAAAATCAATTCGTTTTGGTCCCAGATGACTTTTTAAAATGTATATATCATTGAAAAAGCTCCAAATTATCTCCCTTTGGTGCAAAAATGCCATTTTTTTGCATTAAAATTCAAATATCTTTTTAAACTCATCGGTCATGTCGGTGACCTATATTTTTTATTATTTTTTTCGATTAAGCTGTACTTAAACTAAACTATTGTAAATTTAAGCGATTTCTGTAATTTAGTTCTTTTTTTATTTCGATATAACCTCTATTTCTCCTTCTTCTTCCGGTAAGCAGCCACCGTCAACTGGTTGACTATTCTGCCACATTTTGGAGTGAGCGCATGAAATATTTTTGAAATTTATTAAACAAAAAGAGAATGGGTGCAATTAAAAACATGGCATTTAATCTAATGACGGAGCTGAGCCTTGAAGGATTCAGGACTCAGGGCGGAGACAGTAGAGTTGGGCAAGGTGTTCCACTCTCTGATTGTTCTGGGATAGAACGACTCCTTCCGTACAGTTGTTTTACACAATGGTATTCTAAGTGCCTTTTCGTTATTATTTCTGGAAGGGCGTTCATTGGTATTAGCTTACTGGATGTATTGATTTTGACAAAGTTGTTTTGTAGCTTATACATCATTATTAAGTGGCTATGTTTCCTTCGTTCTTGTAGGGTAGACCATTCAAGATGTTCAAGCATGCTACTAACAGATGAGGTGTTGTGATATCTGTTAGTAACATACATGTACCTTGCTGCCCGTCTTTGCATCATGTCCAATCTGTGGATGTTGTTTTGTTGGTATTTGTCCCATACTGCACTAGCATATATATTCTAAAGTAGGCCTGATGAGGGACATGTATGCTTTTTCTTTAATTGACTTGTTTGAGATGTTAACATTCCTTTTTAAGAAGCTAATGGTGTTGTTGGCTTTGGAGCAGATGGAGCTGAATTATAGTTATCTCGTACCATTGTAAACTCGTACCAATGTCAACTCGTACCACTAAAAAAGAACTCGTACCAATGCAAACTCGTACCACGGTAAATTCATACCATTGTAAACATGTACCAACTTATTTAAATGCATTCAAATGGTGTTTAATGATGAATATATACTTTAATTTCACTCGATACCTCTTAAGTCTGTAAAATGTATATAATTTGAAATTACGATGACCAATTTGTAGCTACCTATATTTCCGCACTTTCTGTGTTGCCATTTAGAACATACATCACACTCTATTGCTTCTTGTCGGGGTCTAACCAGAGAGTGGCACCATATACAATTGTCGTCTTCCATTGTGGTTATTAGAAACCTCACAAACATGCCCCATTTTATGAGGAAAGTGAGCTTTGAGACAACTCATGTCAGCTTATGTTTTGATAATCAGGAATTTCATTTAATAATAAACATTATACATTTAATTCCAAGCTGTTAAATTATATAACAACAATCAAAATTTAATAATATGATTAAACAAGTTGATTTTTGTCTAAGTTTTCATTAAAATCTGGTATAAAATTCAAAGATATTTTAATTTTTTGTATAAAGCTTAAAAAAAAATAATCATAAAATAAAATCTAGTATAAAATTCAAGTAATTCAACTTTTTTTATTAAGTTTACCAAAAAAAAAATCATAAAACATTCGTATTTTTTAATATATTTTTAATGGTACGAGTTTGCAGTGGTACGAGTTCTGATTTGTACGACTTCCCAGTGGTACGAGTTTACATTGGTACAAGTTAACTTTTTTGGTACGAGTTTACGTGGTACGAGTTTACAATGGTACGAGTTAACTTGCTTCCATGGAGCTTATGTTCAACAGAAAAAAAGTACCTTAAATGCTTAATACAAAAATGTATGTTTTTTTCGAAGGCAGATTGTGAGCTTAAATGAACGGTGACCCCATTTCTTTTATTTTGTTTTTCTATAAAGTATATGATAAAGTTCATTTATAGAAAAATATAGCGAAAAAAAAAATGATTTATACCCGCGAGCCCCCTTTAAGTTTAAAATGCATTTTTTTTTTCGTTGCTATGTGCTCTTTCCCAGTGACTCATGTCTCTTTTTATACCTATAAATTCAGCCTTTCTTATAGCAGTTTCTACTGTTGGAAAAACATCCTCGAAGTTTGCTTTTGTGATTCCAACCATGCTGTCTGCTAAAAAAGTTATTACTCCAAATTATGAGTTTTCTCCCCTTGAAATATATTTTAATGTTACAAGAATTCTCATTGGTAGATACAAAACTTTAAACCAATCAAAATCAGTCTTGTAAAATATCGTTAGTTTCACTTTAGGCTTCAACAATGGCGGAAAATTTGACAAGAAGATTCAGCTAAACTAAAAATAACAGTCAATCTATCTCACAAACGAAGCTTACGTCTCTGAAATGTCTTGTATCATTTATATTTTGCTATCATTACTTCTTCAAGTAATATCAAGTCAGGGTTAGTCTTTACTCCATATGAATATGCACATTTTCAGAACTAGTCCTGTTGCTGCATGTTCAGGATGCAAGCAACTTAGCTGCCAGAAGGACATTAGCTAATTTTATGTTATAATTTATTTTTTTTATATTAAATGAAATAAACCTGGTATTGTCTACAAAAGAAATTTTTTATCCAAATATAAAAAAGAAGATGTGGTATGATTGCCAATGAGACAACTCTCAACAAGAGACCAAATGACACAGAAATTAACAACTATAGGTCACCATACAGCCTTCAACAATGAGCAAAGCCCATACTGCATAGTCAGCTATAAAAGGCCCCAAAATAAAAATGTAAAACAATTCAAACGAGAAAACTAACGGCCTAACTTATGTACAAAAAATGAACGAAAAACAAATATGTAACACATAAACAAACGACAACCACTGAATTACTTTCCACTGTCGCTTGGTGATAACTGAATGGATACGAGTACCCCAAGCTGACACTTGTGACATGACTAATACCACATGCATGACATGGTCCAATCGCAAATTTCGACATGGAGAAAATGTAATCAGAAAATCGAAAAACAATTCGAAATCTACGTTTGCATAATCCGAATTCAAAGATACAAACGATTTCTCTCTTTAGAAAAAAGGTTAGGTTGTATATTTTTACAACTTTTAAAAAAATACTATCTTTCATTGCCGATACTCAGTCAGGAAACTTATTGAAATAAGTGATTTTTAAATCACTTATTTAAGTAGCAAATTCGAAGTTTTGTCACAAATTGTGATTTTGTAGTTTTACCAAAATTTTAAACACATAGGTTTAGATAATATCTTTTCATTAGTAAAATTGAAAAAAATGAACTTTTTGCTTCTTTTAAGCAGCAAGGTTTATGCCTTTGATGCAATCATTTAGCTGCAAATTCTATTTTAGTTGAAAAAATGCTATAAAAATGGCTTTACATAATGAACTGATACTTTCTTAACAGATTTTTCCCAGCAGTGGGAGTATTTTTCCTGTAAAATTCAAGGTTTCATCATAGATTATGTAATAAAATTTCACTGTTCGGGGGTGTTGAAATTAGTTGGGGTTATTAAAATAATGATACTTAAAGAAGTGATTTTTTGGAAGGAAATTGAGGTATGATACTTAAACAAGTGATTTTTATGTCATTATCCTAGATTTAGTACAAGGTCATCACCTGACATGACCCGGTCATCCTATCAACACAGATGTTGGTTCTGATAAGTTTAGCAACATAATTAGTACCTGGATCATAAGTATTCTATATTTAAAGCTACAATAAAATTAAATCACTTAGTCTAGTGATTAATTTTTACTACTTAAATAGGTGATTATTAAAGAAAGACAACTCTTACTTCCAACCTTTATGGACATAATGTTACTTGAATCAGTGATTTAAAAAATCACTCATTTAAGTAAGTCCCCTGACTGGTACTACTAGTTAATCGAGAGCGAAACATTTTGATTTTGAGTTACATAAGTTTGATACTTCTTTAGAAAGAGATTATAATTGGCTTTAGTTAATGTTTCATCCATTTAATGCATTAAAAGCTTCATATTCATTCCCAATCTCTTGTCAAACATTGTTTATTTTCGTAAATTTTTCTTCCGCCGCCATTGAAATATTTGTGTAAACTACGCATTGGAACCAGACCAGATATGACAAAATTCCACATTTTTACGATAATAACTACAGATGCACAAATGGCACAGTAGACAGAAAAAAATGATCACAAAAGAGAAAACTTCTCATTTCACACGCATTAACAGACTTTTTATTAGATATCTTTGCTTAATGTATTCTTTTTGAAAATAAATCGTTTTAATATACTGCCTAAGTAGCTTAACTTTGTTAAAAATATATATCATTTTGATATAAAGAAACAACTGGGACTAATTCATTGAGTACCATGAAACAATGAATTTCATAGACATGATAAAGAATAAAGTTTTTTAATTGAAATTTTATTGCTACATGATACTTTCTCTTCCCTTTTTGTCGAGCCTTCGACTTTTGTCGAAAAAGCAAGACATAGCGATCCTACATTCCGTCGGCGTCGTCCGCGGCTGCGTCCACAAATATTCACTCTGTGGTTAAAGTTTTTGAAATTTTAATAACTTTCTTAAACTATCCTTGATTTCTACCAAACTTGGACAGAGGCTTGTTTATGATCATAAGATAGTATTCAGAAGTAAATTTTGTAAAAAAAAAATTCCAGTTTTTCCGTATTTTACCTATAAATGGACTAAGTTTTTCTGCCAGTTAACATTACATTCACTCTGTGGTTAAAGTTTTTAAAATTTTAATAACTTTCTTAAACTATTCTGGATTTATACCAAACTTGGACAGAAGCTTGTTTATGATCATAAGATAGTATCCAGAAGTAAATTTTGTAAAAAAAATCCTGTTTTTCCGTATTTTACTTATAAATGGACTAAGTTTTTCTGCCAGTTAACATTACATTCACTCTGTGGTTAAAGTTTTTAAAATTTTAATAACTTTCTTAAACTATCCTGGAATTTTACCAAACTTGGACAGAAGCTTGTTTATGATCAAAAGCTAGTATCTAGAAGGAAATTTTGTAAATTTTGTAAAAATTTATTTCCTGTTTTTCCGTCTATTACTTATAAATGGACTTAGTTTTTCTTCCGGTTAACATTACATACAGTCTGCAGTTAAAGTTTTTAAAAAATTTATAAGATTCATAAACCATCCTGGATTTTTACCAAACTTGGACAGAAGCTTCTTACAATCAAAAGATAGTATCTAGAGGAAAAGTTTTAATAATTTTTTCCCCATTTTTGTTGACATAGCGATCCTACATTCCGTCGTCGTCTGAATTAAGGCATAAATCATCAAACAATGTAAAAATTATCTTCTTTATCATTTGTTCATTCAATCAATTTATGTTTCAACTCTTTTATAAATCTATAGATTTGATTCCATACTGTATTCATTTTTACAAGCATAACTTTTTTCATACATTTCAAACGTTTTATTTCATTAACTGTAAATCTATTATGTGCATTCCCCTATCACACTGAAAACATAGATAACAGCAAAAGTAGGCAAGACACTGGGTTCCGCGGAACCCTTACAAATTTTTATATAAAAACCAGTTCTTTTTTTTTGCTAGATATTCAGTATTGTATATATACAGGTTGTACTATAATAAACCATTCATTCATTCATTCATTCATTCATTTAGTTGAGTAGGTAGGGTAACTGGAACCACATATATATTTTTATTTGGCCCAAGAGGAAAAAAATAATTCTGTAACTATAAATGAATATAGAAAACATAAACTGAAACAACTGCTATCATGGTTAAAGTTTAATTATATTCTCAATTATGAATTGAACAATATATACATATATAACATAAAGGAAATAGGGCATCGCCGCGACACGTCAAATGACATTGAAAAAAAATACAGTTTATTTTTTTACGCCAAATGTGATGCTATCCACAATTTCTGGGGAGAACACTGCAGTCTAAATTGTAAAACGGAACATAATTCCATGCAAAAAAAAACAATAATTTTCGATCATAATGAATCACTTCAGTAGTTTAAAATAAAATACTTGAATATTAACCGCAACTTGATAATGACAATTCCTAATTTATATCATAGTTTACAATCAAAATAATACATTGTATTACATTCAGAATGGAAAGATGCATGTAGCATGGTCTATTACTGTGGAAATTTCAATATTTAGTGACTTAAAACCATTTCAGTTTTAAACTTTTGTCTTCCACATTTAAACCATTTCAGTTTTAAACTTTTGCCTTCCACATTTAAACCATTTCAGTTTTAAACTTTTGCCTTCCACATTTAAACCATTTCAGTTTTAAACTTTTGCCTTCCACATTTAAACCATTTCAGTTTTAAACTTTTGCCTTCCACATTTAAACCATTTCAGTTTTAAACTTATGCCTTCCACATTTATACCATTTCAGTTTTAAACTTTTGCCTTCCACATTTAAACCATTTCAGTTTTAAACTTTTGCCTTCCACATTTAAACCATTTCAGTTTTAAACATTTGCCTTCCACATTTACATGTATATCTGACTGTATTGAATGTTTTACAAAAACAGGAACAAACTTCTTGTTGTTGATGCTGCAAATCATTGATCCCAGTTCATGACTTCTGAATTGAAATGACATTACTGGGATATTTGTTTAGTCCTAACAAAATTACAAAAATAGCAAGGAAATGACTCTGTGAACCTTGTCAGGAAATTACATTGAAATTGCTACAAATGGCAATTAATGAAAATATTGTTTATTCTATAATGATCACTGATGATTCTGATGTAAATATACAATGTAACGAACAAAATAGTAGTCTATTCGCTTTTAGGCCAAACAAAATAATACATGTGTTTCGGCTTACCCCACCTACCCTAATTTTTAGTGCCTACCCTTACACTTTTTATGTCATTTTTGAACAAGCACAGTTAAAGTCAGACAGATTTCCTAGTAGTAACCAGCCAAAAATGTTTGTAAACTAAAATGATAATGCCTACCTACCTAGATTTTTTCTCACACGTAGCAGAAACACAAGCATTATTTTATTTTGGCCTTACTTTCAATGAAATGTAGAAATGAAATATTTTCATTTCTAATGAAGACCTGCAGGGTTTTGTCCTGGTGAAATTTCCTACATCGTTAAATTTTCATCCATGGAGATCACTAGCTGAAATATTAAAGAAAAGAGAATAACAGGCAAAATAAATAAAAATAAGGGAAAATGGTATAAGATAAAAGAAATAAAGGTACCCCCTCCCCTCATCAAGACCCTCCTTTAATATATTGACAGCATCTTTTTTTCTGAAAATAAGTTATCTCTGTTTTCTTTTCCAGGTATTGGAAAAGTCTATGTTGGAACATTGCCAAATAACACTGTGTCAACTCTATCCTTCAATGAGAATTCAGCATCTCTTGTGATACCTGTATTCATAGAAAACAAAAATCCTGTGGATAATACTGATGTTCCAATTACAGGAAATGTATGTATGGATATGTTACATGACTGGATTTTTTTTATGGATTGAGTAAACATTGTATATTTTTTATGAATATGCAATACCTTATTTTGCCAAAGTCTGCATATAATATAGATATAAGTAGATGTGGTATGATTGCCAATGAGACAACTATCAACCATCCACCTCTCAAATTTGTTTCTCCAATGAATTTTAGACAATGTGTAGCTTATCATTGTGTTTCTGGTTAAATGATCTATAATGATATTTTTTTCGACATGTACATGTATTGAACTTCTTTATATGTGACATCATTGGGGAATGTCTCCTTATATCACAATAGCAAATCCAGATGAAAGCTAGAATATTCAGATACCATAATTGAATTGTGACCAATGAAATCAGCCATGCATTGATTATAAAAAAGTAATCATCCAAGGAAATAAAAATTTGCAAAGAATTACACCAAAAAAATATATTGTTTTTATTCACACGCTTCACTCGCTTATACATGTATATAAATAAACATAAATCATTAATTTGTGTAATATTATTTCAGATAGTTGTTGAGTGTGAGTTGAGTACAAGTGGAAGTGGATTTAGTTCAGCCACTATACAAACAGTAACATTAACTCAGGCAAATCGTGGTGGCAATGTTCCATTTAGGTAACATTTCTTAGACTGTTGAAAAAGAAGCATGAACAAAATCTACAGCATAATATCAAAATTTAAGCTGTTTACAGCAGATTTTTATAGCCTGGAATTACAATAAATTGCTTCATATAGATATGACATACGCTAACATCATATATGCTATTATCATGATTATAGAGATTTAGATATTTAAACAATTTTGGGAATTTTTTTAAAGTTTAACTCAGTTTACTTTTTTATTTTTTCTCATTTAATCAAATAGAAGCCTCCTGAAAAAATGACTGGTTTATATCAATAGATTATCATATAGAAGATTCTGTTTCAGTGCTCCAGTTAAAGGACAGGCAGTAGACATCAGATGTTTTAGTGATTCTGGTCTTCAGTTCAACAAAACAGAATCTATAAGTTCACCATCGTATGTATAAGTTACTTATTAAAATAAAGGCTTTTTAAAAGACTATAACTTATCTTTTTGTTTTTTGTCTAACTTTAGTTATCAGGGCAGATTGGGGCTGAATGATTTTTGTGAACTATGCTACCAATTTTATCGTCAAAATATGTAGCAATGCGCTTTTTTTATCAATCAAGATAGACATGAGCTGAAAACCCTGATTTTTGAAATTTTGGATCGGTTACATGGTGTTTACTTTAGTTTCCTAAAAGGACATTGTCAATGTCAACAAAGTTAAAGCACTGGTACTAGTTAATGGTTAGATAAATTACTGTTACCATTGAGTAAAGTTAAATCTATAGTCTTTAGAGGTAACGTTTTAAAAACTAATAAAGAATGTTTAACATAGGCATTTTAAAACTCTTTTTTGCTGTACTTATGTGAAGTGTCAGATTACACTCAGATTTTTGTAACATATTGGCTGTATCCATCTTTTAAATCTTGAAACTGTATGTAGTTTATACAACTTTGAAATTTACACAAATATAACTAAAATTTACCACTGCTGTGTTGTTAAGCTTGAGCAATATGTTATGCATAAGTAAGGCTTTAAAATTAATAATATTTTTGTTTTATTTCAGATCATTTACCATCGTAAGTGCCCCTACAGTCAGTATTTGTCCTACGGGTACTAAAGATGTAGTGGCTATCAACAGTCAAAATACTCCACAGACCTTTAATGTTAGACTAAGGTAAGTGGTCCTACAGTCAGTATTTGTCCTACGGGTACTAAAGATGTAGTGGCTATCAACAGTCAAAATACTCCACAGACCTTTAATGTTAGACTAAGGTAAGTGGTCCTACAGTCAGTATTTGTCCTACGGGTACTAAAGATGTAGTGGCTATCAACAGTCAAAATACTCCACAAACCTTTAATGTTAGACTAAGGTAAGTGGTCCTACAGTCAGTATTTGTCCTACTGGTACTAAAGATGTAGTGGCTATCAACAGTCAAAATACTCCACAGACCTTTAATGTTAGACTAAGGTGAGTGATCCTACAGTCAGTATTTGTCCTACTGGTACTAAAGATGTAGTGGCTATCAACAGTCAAAATACTCCACAGACCTTTAATGTTAGACTAAGGTAAGTGGTCCTACAGTCAGTATTTGTCCTACTGGTACTAAAGATGTAGTGGATATCAACAGTCAAAATACTCCACAGATCTTTAATGTTAGACTAAGGTAAGTGGTCCTACAGTCAGTATTTGTCCTACTGGTACTAAAGATGTAGTGGCTATCAACAGTCTAAATACTCCACAAACCTTTAATGTTAGACAAAGGTAAGTGGTCCTACAGTCAGTATTTGTCCTACTGGTACTAAAGATGTAGTGGCTATCAACAGTCAAAATACTCCACAGACCTTTAATGTTAGACAAAGGTTTGTGTTGTATATGTATATGTGATACTGTGGTTTCATTTATTTTCATGAAAACCAATTTTCGTGGATTAAGAAAAAATTGTATTTTCATGGATGTTTGATTTCGTAGTTTTACACAGGTCTGCATACAAGCCGATACTTTGTTGAACATTTGCATATGTCTTGACAAGTACGCACTAAATCAACGAAAATTGATAACCCATGAATAACAATGAATCGACAGTATCTATGGTTATCTTCCCAAACGTTTGAGTTATTAGTCTGTTCAGTGCCACCCATCTAATAATCCATTCAGAAGAGTTGGAATAGATTGTGATTCAGAAGCTCATTATTTATTCTGTAATTATTAACTTAATTATACCTCCATTCTAGGAGTTGGAGCTAAACTACTGAACATGAAAGCAGATATAATGTAAACCAACTTATTTCTGCAACGTAAGAGTGTAGAAATAAAAGTTGGACCTATCTTTATATACATATATCATGGAAATGTTAAAGAAGACATTGCCAAAATGTTAGATAGAAAGGGCTAAAGGCAAAATATAGTATCCATGAAAAAAAAAGTTGGTTTACAGAATTGGGGGGTTCATGGAAATTCTCATGGATTTCACTGGTAAAGGTAAATCCCAAATTTTAATGTTCAAAAAGTTATAAATTTTCATAAGGCTTGTATACAGACTTTGACAATTCCACCATAATATAATTCTTTCCTCATCCTCAAAAATTGGTACATAATTTTTATGAAAATAAATGAATCAACAGTATACAATATCTATATTAAAATTGGACTAAACTGGATACATATACAATATCAAGGTCAATGTCAGAAAAATATAAACTTTTTTGTATGAGGCTGAGAAACTGGGGAAGGGCGAGGTTTTACCAAGCCCTTCCCCAGTTTTGTGCCAAATACAAAAAAAGTTTGTATTTTTCTGACATTGACCTAATATGTTTTTATACTGCAACTTAAATTAATACATTGATAGCTATTTAAATTGTAAGACAAATTTCAAACTTATTTTCATCCCTTAATGAACCTTGATTGTAGAAAAAGTTATGCTTGATGAAAAGTATGCTTTATGCTAGTGTTTAGGAATAAGTTTTAGATTTTAATACTTTGTATTAAAGACAAGGATGGAAGAAAAATTTACTTCAGAAAGGATAAGAAAGAAACTTTGTTTCATATACATTAAATAACATACAATATAGTACATGTCACTACAATATATTTGATTTCAACTGAAACAAATGTTTTAATTACATGACATTCTTATTCCAATAAAAACCAACATTTGCACATGTGAAATAAATCCTAAGTTACTAAAGTAGCACTCCTCTGACATCATACAACAAGGTGTTGTCAAAATGTTGCCAATGATTTCGTCAAAGTGGAGTGAGAATGTGATGGAAAAGGATATAGTTCAATCATGATAATTGAAGCAGGCGAGACATTTCAGCGTGTACACTCTTGTTATGATATACTTGTTTTTTTTTTATCTCCATGTATGTCTTTACAAATTAGTTTTCATTTTCTTAAATAAAGGTATGGAGTATCCTTTGTTAATTTTTAACTACATGCATTTGTAACATTTTTACAGTGATGTTGTTGCTGGAAGCCCTGTTACCATTACATGTACTGGAACAGGTTTAACATTTGTTACTGCCACAGCTGCTATTGGTGCCAGAGAAGTACCGGTTAGTATAGTCATTAATATTATGTTTTAGCATATTTGAGTGCATCAGAGGTTTTCAGTGATGTGGTACTTTAAACTTTTCCTTCCAAAAAAGCATCTGGACGCTGCCTTTTATCTAAAGGGTTGGTTTGTAAGGAAGATAGGCCATTTGATTTTTTTGTTGGAGGGTGGGGGAGGGTATTTTTATTAAGGTTCAATTTGATTGATTTTCTTAACTTTAATTGAGAAATTATAAAGTTTGAGTTTGTCAAAAAGAAAATAACTTCTATTTTTTAAAATATTTACCTATTTATGATTATTTTTGTGATGTTTCCATCTATTTATGACAATCCAAAGGATAATTTTAATCAGGAGTATTTGATGAATCTCAAAAATTTCATTTGATTTCTTTGTAGGTAACAGTTACCTTGACAATTAATACACCTGTAACAGGTACATGTAGTGGACAATCACAGACAGGTGGTCAGTACGAAACGACCAATTCACTAGGTAAACATAATTTATTTCTATTATATTATACCATTTACCATCTTTTGGTGTGTATAAAACATATTGAAGGATAACATGCACCCCCCTTTTTGACCCACTGACATATTTGAAAAAGTCCCAACTCCAAAATTCGGCAAGACATCCATTGAAACAAGATTTTCTGCAAAACTAAAGTAAATAGAACATGGTTACAATATAGTTGACTTTCTTTGTGCTTTTTATCATCCTTATTTTTTTAAGATGAATACAGACAGTGTTTTAAAAAATACTGGTCAATATCAACACAATAACTGATACAAATATAAACACCCTCCCTTTGTCAACAATTTTATAGAAGTCATTGTCTGAGAACCAGAAAATTAATATCACATGGCCTTGCTGTCTAAAATCATAGCAGGTAAGAATCATACCCAACAGTCAATAGGAAAAAGTATGCCAGTAGGTCACTATAAAAAAGCTCTTTCCTTTTGTACAAGGGCATATGGTATGTGATATAGCTCATTAAAGGTTCAAATATTAAATATCTCGAAAAGGAGCTCCATAACCTATCAATATTTTTAGCTTATTTTTTTCCTTAACTAATGCTCTTCTGACTTATCAATTTTAAATTTTAGATTTTTTTAATTTCACCTAAGTACATCCTTAAGTCTTTTCTAGTGAACGAAACTCTAGGAGAAAGTTTTGCCAAAGTAATACCATTGCACAGTTTATTTATAATGTAAATTGATGGATTGATTGTTTGTGTTTTACCCCACTTTTAGCACTATTGGCTTTATCCAGCTTCTTTTGGCGGAGGATGCCAGAGTGCTTGTATAGAACCACATACCTTCGGCAGGAAAACTGGTAATTTTAGTCAATTTAGATTGGAGTTGGACGCACCTGCCATTTGTGGCGATCAAACTCACAACCTCAGTGTTGACAGGCTAGTAATACATTATGTATACTGTAAATATTAAATGTTAAAATGTATTTACAGGTCCAGCAGTCACATTCCAACTAGTGCAGCCTGTTGTAGCATTATACCCTCAAAGTTTATCGGTATCAACTACTTCATTTGCTGTAAGTATCACACCATATAAAACAAAATTGAAAATTGTGGACAGATTATTGTGACTTTTGTTTGTTTCTTAATTTATTTACTTATTTAATTTGATTATTCAAGTTGGTGTTCTTCCTAGAGCCTTATAGTGTTTTTATAAAACATATTCTACTTATGTCATCAGTGATAGCAGTATGAAAGAATATCAATAAAAAATAGATCTCTTAGCTTTAGGTGTAATACCACCAAATCATAGTACGTCACATCCGGTTGCATACGAAAAAGGGTCAAAAAAAATATTCCCTTGAATTTGATAGTTGTTAGAAATTAATCCTACATTTCATTGCAGTAAAAAATTTCTGAGTCATAAACATATATCTTGGGTGTTTCAATGCACCCTTAATTTTTTATTTGGTGTTTCTATAGAATATTTTGGAAACAAGGTTACAGGTGCGTCCGTTCATTCGTTCGTCCGTCCGTCTGTCCCGCTTCAGGTTGAAGTTTTTGGTCAAGGTAGTTTTTGATGAAGTTGAAGTCCAATCAGCTTGAAACTTAGAACACATGTTCCCTATGATATGATCTTTCTAATATAAATGCCAAATTAGAGTTTTGACCCCAATTACACAGACCACTGAACATGGAAAATGATAGTGCGAGTGGGGCATCCATGTACTATGGACACATTCTTGTTTTTTTATGAATGAGTTGCACCAATTTCTCCTAGTTCAGTTGGTGTAAATGATGTCATGGGACAATTGGTTGGTTCTTACTGTGACGTAATAACATAAGCATTGTGACATAGTAAATGTATGGGAAAATATACCAATTTGAAAGTAGTCTATTGTAATTTCTAACCTCTAAAGCAGATTTCTCGAAAAGTGGTCATCCAAAAGTTTAGACCACCAAAATTTAGCAAAAGACCGACACAATTTTGGTATTTTGCAGTAGAAATAATAGTAAGGACCAGCTGAATGGCAAGGACCACCAGGGAAATAAAAGATTTTAAGAACTCTGAAAACCATTTCGTTTCATTTCAGACAATATTACTTCTGACATCATCAGTCCCAGGCAGTGCAACAACATTCCGTTGTAGAGCAGATCTCCTGGCTTTAGCAGATGTACAGAATGCTTTACAGAATCCCTTATGCAGGGCAGCTACTCCCACCCCCAGTCCCACTGCAGGTCAGTATCATATTATTTCTTTGCTTTATTTCTGACTGATGAGCTGTTAATTTGTATACTTTGATGGTTTTCACAATTTATTAGTTGAATTGAAGGATACAAAATGACTCATTAAAATCATTAAAAAAAAAAAAAAATTAACAACATTACACACAAGCAGTTTGTTTTTTTGTTTTTTATTTCATTACATTTTTATTTTTTTGCATTATTGTAGAAATATTGAAATTTATCCCGGTTATGAAGATTTTTACATACATGTAGCTAAAGAAGTTTCTTGCAATTACCTTGCTGAATTGCAGTCTCACATTAATTTTACATGTATTTTATATCAAAATTGGAAACTGGAATGCTGGAGTCTCAAAGCAACTAACTCAATTAGTTTACAGGCCTCTGTGGCCAAGTGGTCTAAGTATTTCATCTACAGTATCATTAGCCTGTCAACATTTGGGGTTGTGAGTTCCAATCTAGCATAGGGCAGGTACTTTCGACTTAGTCTTGATTGACAAGGATTGCCAGTTTTCCTGCCGAATGTCATTGGTTCTCACTGGGCACACTGGCTTCCTCCACCAATAAATACTGGCTACCAAAAGATCAAGTGCACCTTTTAATTTTACAAATGATTGGCAAAAGAAAAACATTCTACAGCAATAGCTAATATATTATAATTATAATAGTGAAACTAGTCCACCTATGGCTGCAGAGTAGTAATGAAATGCTGTGTTCTTTATTCAACTTAGACCATTTGGCCACAAACATAAAACCCCAACAATAGAGTTGAATGAACATTTTCAACTGATTTTTATAGTTTGTTCTTTTTTTGTTCTACTGTCCAGATTAGGGGAGGGTTGAGTACTCACAAACATGTTTAACCCTACCACATTCTTTATGTGCCTGTCCCAAGTCAGGAGCCTGTAGTTCAGTGGTTGTTTTAGGTTCATGTCCGTAATATTTGTTTTTCATAAATGTTTTTGTTATAAAATAGGCCATTGGTTTTCTCATTTGAATTGTTTCATATTTTTCATGTCGGGCTTTTTATAGCCGACTATATGGTATGATTTTTTCTCATTGTTGAAGGCTGTATGGTTGCCTATAATTGCTTACATCCCCTTCATTTGAACTTTGGTGGATAGTTGTCTCATTGGCAATCATACCACATCTCCTTATTTTTATATTGTATACAATATTTGTATAAATTTCTTTTATAAAAAAGAATAGAAATATTAAACCCTATTGATGATATCTTATTATTTTTTGCATTCCTTTATGGATTTTCCTGATGATACTTGTAAATATTGGTGAGTTCTTGCACGGTTTATGATTTCATATTGTCAATACCATCCTTCCTTTACATTTCATTTCATTGCCAATTGGAAAGAACTGAATTCTAGTGAAAGCTATTTATATTTGTGCTTATGTTGTTTGTAGCTGAATTATTGATTTCATTGTAGCAGATACATTTCCAGAATTAGAAAATTAATTTGATATCTGTAAGCATGGTCTAATATATGAAAGTGTGCAATCCTGATAAATGTTCCTCCATAATCTGCATACAAGTACTATAAATAGATTAATTATATAGATTTCATTTGCTAACATATGAAGAAGACTGTTCCTCTTCACCGATTGCAGTTCATTCAAAAATCGGACCCAACTGCAATTTGTTTTATAACATTAATATGTTCAAGAAAAATTTAAACTTCTGGAACAATAGTCAATTCATCAATGTTAGAAGTGCTAAGTGGTAAAAAGAAAATTGTTCTACATGTATCATTAAATTTCTAATAAGTATAAAGTTTTTGTGAAATTTCATCCATACATCCATATTTGCTTCAGTAGTGCATTTCATGCTTTTTTAGTTACTATTTATGTTTATCAGGAAGTTGATTTGCAAAATGCAAGTTTAAACAATTTGTTTTAAGTTTAGAATGTGTGGATTATTTGTGAAAACAAATAAATATATTCAGCCAGTTGTCAATCATTTTAAAACTTACATAATAACCAGAGATTTAGAATAAGTTTGGGTCTCATATTGTATACTGGTATTTTATAAAATATTGCAAAAGTAGTTATTTTTATAGTTTTTGTAAATTTCTCTTTTCATTGTGTCTACAAAAGTATGAAAAATTATGCTTAATGTGTAACTGATTCCTTTATGTATATCTTGGGAGTTTGTTCCAGTTGATGGATGATATTATAATTTTATTGACAGGAAATGCTACAGATACAGTCACACCTGAGTGGGGAATATTAACTCCTGAGGTCAATCTGGATAGCGTAAGTTGGATTCATTTATTGCAGATTTATTTAAATTAGTGCGTACCAATTTCAAAGGATTGAGGGAAAAAAATGTTGTGGATATGTCATGGTTTTGTCAAAGTCTACATACAAGCCTATAGAAAATTCGTAATTCGTTAAATATTTAAATTCTGGGTACACCTTTACCTTCAAAATCCATGAAAATTGGTATCCCACAAATAAAAATGAATCCACAGTACTGAGAATGCATTTAATATAGTGTGCACCAATATCACTGGATTGAGGAAAAATTGTATTCTCATGCATATTTGATTTGGTTGTTATGCAAAAGTTAGTGTACAAGCCTATAAAAAATTTATGTTTTGTTGAAACATCAAATTTGTGATTTCCATTTATGAAAACGAAAATTGGTATTGCATAAATAATAATGAATGCACTGTACATGATATATGTGAAGCTCATTACATATACAACATTAAGGGAGAAGTCAACTTGCTCTCATGAAAGAAAATAGTAAATATGGATGAAGTAAAAAATCTTTGAATAATTTAGACTTCTGACAGCCTAGGAGACAAGACTGACCAGAGGGTTGAGATCCTCTGGCCTTTGTTAGTCTTGTATGTTTTCTTAATTTTAGTTCATTTATATGTTTCAGAGTTTAGTGTGATGTCCATTTTCACTGAACTATTTCACATTTTGTTTAGGGGCCAGCTGAAGCCTGCCTCCTGGTGCAGGATTTTCTCGCTGTGTTGAAGACCCATTAGTGGCCTTGGACTGTTTTCTGCTCTTTGGTCGGGTTATCTCTTTGACACATTCCCCATTTCCATTCTCAATTTTATTTCAACTTTCAATTACTTTTCCAAATCCAGTTTGTAATTTTATCTTGCTTAAATTGATGACAGTGATATGTTGAAAGTGCTTATTTTCATACAACATTTTATATAATTACTTGAAATAATATGATAACATACAGTAATTGTATACACTTTCTATTTATTTTATTTCACAGAGTGTTCACCATGCCTTGTTGAAAGCTACACGTAATGTGGGTGTGACAACATCAGTAGAAGAGAATGTTGTTGTTAGTTGTTGTAGTACAACAGGCACTACTACATTAGAAACTGCCATATGGGCTCAAGTCTCATTAACACCTAATGCTACTGTTGACTGGGAGAAATCTACAGGTATTTATAGGGAAAATTGTCAATTACTATACATTTGTTGTCAGTTTGACTGTTATACTGTGGCATAGCTTCCATTGTGACAACCGAGGCAATTGCCTTGGTAATTACAAATTTTTTTAAAAAGAAAGAGAAAGAAACAATTGAATTCTCCTTATAATGTTTTAAACAGCTTCCACTTAATGCAGCAGACTCTAGCTATAACTGTATGCTTCTTACTCATTTACAAAGAACATAAAACCATAACCCTCCACCTAAACATTGCTAAACTTCCCTCCTATATTCATTTTAATGGAATAGCACTTATAGATATCAGGATGAATACTTATCTTAAAGCTATCTACTAGTAATTTAGATAAATTTAGATAGGGCTGTTCCATTAAAACATACATGGCACCCAAGGAAGGCACTCTGGAAATGGGATAACCATCTATAGCGGTAATTTAAGAATTTCTCTTACAATTAACTGTACAAAATCACCCATCCATAGATGAGATTTCAAAGTGCCTTCCCTGGGTCCCATGTATATTTTTATGGAACAGCCCTAAATGCCTTGAAAACTGTAAACCAAATTAAACAAAATCTTTATTTCAGGTTAGATATTTTCAGTAGACTTTGTGGCAATTTATTTTCCAGATTTTCTTTCTCTATTTACATAACGTAGACCAAATTTTAAATATTCGTGACAATTTGTTTTCCTATTTGTGAAAGTCCTGAAAATGGATTGTTCACAAAAATTATTTTGTTTACAGTATTTTAAGTAAGAATTTTTATCAGAACTTAAAAATTTTGTATGATCTAATCATTGTCACTATCAGTATTTCTGTGTTTGTTTTCAGACATTAATAACTTTACAACACCAAGAACGATACAGAATGTAGCCTTTGTAGAGGTCGCCCCATGTCCTTGTGATTTGACAGGAGGAGTGTGTGATATTAATTGCTGTTGCGATGGGGTACATTGATTGTTTTAAAAATGTTGTATACATGTACTTCAATATATGAGGTGTCTTCAACTTTGTTTTTCAAGATGTCAACAATACACAAATTACACAATGTTTTACATAATTTAAGCTACTCTAACCTGGCTGTATTAAAGGAACTGCTTTCAAGATTGAAAAGTATTGTTATCCAATAACTACATGTATATATTATAATTTATTTTTGTTCTCTAAAAATTTACAATTGCAGTTTCCTTTAGTTAATCATACATTATTAACATTGTGTGTATTGTTTGGATGAAACTTGTAAAAGTAGTAACTAGTTCAGGGCACAATGTTTTTTATTTATTATTTTCATTGTGCCTATAAACGCTTGAAATCTTGATTAATTTTTTCTTGAAATTCTTATAAAATGAGACAACTATCCACCAAAGTTCAAATGAAGTGGATGTAAGCAATTATAGATTATTATCATGACCTTCAACAATGAGAAAAACCCATACCGTATAGTCAGCTATAAAAGGCCCAGACATGAAGTGGATAATAGAATATATCTAGATACAGATTTGTATTAAACTGCTAAATAAATATTGGCTTATTTTCTGTGACCAACAAATAATTAACAAAATCATGAAAACTGAAAACTAAAAACAACTTGGAAAATTAATAGATTTACGTTGTCATGTGAAATTTTGACACTCCTGCAAAATTATTTAAGGTATCATTTTCATCTGACAAAAGTATTTCAAATTATTTTAAATATTTTGTACAGGACTGTACATTGGCTGAACAAGAGACTTTCAGTAGATGTATACCTTATCTAGATGGTGGTCAGGAAGCTGCCTTACCAGAATATATGTGTGATTCTAAACATTTCCACAAAGAAGATTGGTTTCCACTGATGTGTGTTACGAATGAATACAATTCATTATTGGGTTTTTTCTATCAGAATGAAAATAACTTACGAACAACACAAAGTTTATTGGAGAAGGTGAATGGTAAAGAAAGCTTTACTTATAAGTGAGTATCACACTAGATTGTCATGTTTATTGATTTATCACACTAGATTGTCATGTGTATTGATTTATCACACTAGATTGTCATGTGTATTGATTTATCACACTAGATTGTCATGTGTATTGATTTAAAAATACAGCTGCTATATGAATGTTTACTGAGTATGAATTTTAAAATTAGAAATAATAATAGACCATCTTCTTTTGAAAAAATTACTTTCACAGTTTGCATCAACCTTTCATTTACTTTTTTCTTCTAAATTTAATTGAAACATTTATGTAGTTACTTACTCTATCTATAAGCCTATTTCCTCATACACAATCTCTAATCTAACCCGTACTTAAACTTAAATGTTAGAAAACTGACACTTTACACCTAATTAAAACTATACTGGTATAAAAAAGTTTTCTTGCAACTGGAATGTAAAATTTAGATTCCCTCTGGAGCTATGTGAAGAGATATTTATTAGGGAAATCAATTTTCCTTCAATTTACAAATTGCTTCAGAAGAATTAAACTTCAATTTTCTTGAGCTACCGAAGCAGTTTTGGTTTAAACATCTTTAATTTTTAACAAAATTAAAACAAAATTTAACACTAGTAAGGAATATAATAAACACATGAATGGAACTAGTTTTAACTTACTAATTATTAGCAGATTTATACTTTTGCCAACCAGTTGATTATTATTTTATAATCTATGTGTGGTTCTTTTTAACTCAGTTTTTCGTTGGTCAAAATTCACTTATGAAGTCAAATTTCCTTGCTATTCTCGGAATTTCCTATTGTGACATTTTGAAAAAAGGCGACCATGTCTCATCATGTCATATAGAAAGAACATATCTGCATTCCACTTGATGCAGTGGTAGAATCAACATATACATTGTAAGTATAAGATAGTTCCCCCCAAAAAATCAATGCAATATTCAATATCATTATTGAAGCATGGACACGTAGAACTATTTTCATTGTGTTCATTTGAGTTATCTATTTTACAGTTTGATATCAGATATTTTTGTTATAAACAGGGAAGAAGAAGAAAGAGTTGAGCCTCCTGCACCAGCCGCAACAAAAGGTTATCTTCAGAACGAGAAAGTACTATCTGTCAGAACTAATGCAGCTGGTCGGGCTGATAGGAGAGGAGTTGTCTCCCTTCCACAGCGTATCCTGTCTGGTGAATGTTCTACAACTGCACCATTACAGTATCTGAAGGATATGGACAGTGATTGTTCATTTCAACTGACAAATGCCATGTGTTCTGGTGATAGTGTATTTAATGCTTTGTCTTACATACAGTCATCAACAACACGGGATCCCTCCTGTCCAAGTGCTTTTTCCATAATGGGGAATCCTAATACACAGAATATTGCAGAAACAGTTGTCAATTATTACTGTTTAACAGATGCAGCGTCTTATATCAAATCAACAACAACTGCAGCAACACCATCAACAAGGTCACTATTCAACTATACATACCCAGCTGGATGCCCTTTGGATAATTGTGGTAGGGAGACAACGACTGAACCACCATGTACTGGTTATGTTGATGGTACTGCTCAGGAAACTCTTCCTCCACGATGTGGGTTCAATGACCACTACACTCGACCACCATCACCAAATATCAATGGTGCTACTTGTGAAAATGCTGTTGTAGATGTTAGGTACAATTTTTATTGGTCTGGTCCCAATATATTGAAACTCAATGCAACAGTATTTCTTGCCAATATATTGCTTTCTTTGCCAACAAATCCAGTGGTAGTTACACAGAAATATAAAGCATCTTTTGTGAACAGTTTTGCAGGATCACCAGCTGAGGATAACTTCTACAATGTCAGTACACCTTTCTCTAGGTCTGGTAAACCAGGTAAGCTTAGATTCAAGGTCATTACGAAATACATCTACATATATGATAATTTCATTAGATATTGTTGTTATGCCCTGCTTGAGATAGGATGGGGGCAATATGGTTTCAAGGCATATATCATCCGTTTGTCTTTCTGTTTGTCCATGGTCCATCTGTCCCATATAGGGTTAAAGTTTTATTGGAGGTAGTTTACCATGAAGTTGTGATCACATCAATTTGAAACCAACTACTCATGATGTGAACTTTTTAAATATTCTCCCCTTTAGGATTTGGACCCATAATCACTGTATTTTCACTTTTATCATTTCTTAGACAATCTATTATTGAAGATTTAACTCTCACAATGATATCTCCCAATAATTAACTGTTGAGTTGTATTGTTTGTTAAACAATTAATAGAAAGAAAGAAGAAAATGTGTTATGAGTGCCAATGACTGAATGAGACAACTCTCCATCCAGTCACAATGTGTAAAAAGTAAATCATTATAGGTCAAATTACAGCCTTCAAAACAGAGCCTTGGCTCACACCATACATCAAACTATAAAGGGCCCCAAAATGACTAGTGTAAAAGGATTCAAACAGGAAGACCAATGGTCTAATCTATATAAAAAAAAGAGAGAAATGAGAAACACTTATGAACCCCATCAATAAACGACAACCACTGAAACAATTGTTTATTTTGAGAATTGATGTCAGTTTAAGATATCAAACTGGTTTCAGCAACAGTCCATTTATTTGTAAGGACTGAAAACAGATTCATACACTGTAAAACATCCCCATGTATTTGAAATTAAATCAAAACCTTTATTGCTTTTTGTCCACCATTTATGAACTACTCAAACTTTATTCTACAATTTTTTGACTTCACATGAAGAAAAAAAACATATGATGCAACAAAGCAAACATTTTAGTATAAACATGATTTCAGTAGTTCAAACTTCACAAACTCTCAGCTTAAGTTGCTGGGGCTCTTTGATTCGAGCATCACAAGTCTTTTGTAGACGACACGCACATCTGGCGCAAATACAAAATTTTAATCCTGGTTTCTATGATGAGTTTATTTACAACAAAAATTATCATATGTAATACTAAAATGTTCATGAATTTGCAGTATACTATTCAGTGATACATAATTTAATACTCCTAATTTTAGAATGAAAATTATATTGATAGGTTATGACATAGATAAACCAATGATCAGTGGTATGGTGATTAGAAATGAAACCAGCAATGCCTTCTTATACATGAACTCTAACAGCAGTAGACAGGTGGCGCTGTGGAATACAGGTAAATGTTTAAGACTTTTATTAGAAGATGCCTTGTTTTGATCTCATTTGATATTATGGCAAGTTTGATTATTGGATATAAATAGAAGATGTGGTAAGATTGCCAAAGAAACAACTCTCTACAATAGACCAAATTACAGAAATTAACAACTATAGGTCACCGTATAGCCTTCAACAATGAGCAAAGCACATACTGCATAGTCAGCTATAAAAGGCCCTGAAGACAAATGTAAAACAATTCAAACGATAAAACTAACAGCCTAATTTATGTACAAAATATTGAACAAAAACAAATATGTAACACAGCAACAAACAACAACCACTGAATTACAGGTTCCTGACTTATGACTGGCACATAAGAAAGTGGCAGGTTTGAATCAGTTTGTTTGCGCAAACCCTCCCCCTAACCAGGGACAGTGGTGTAACATAGCAAATTTTACAAAACAAACATGAAACAAATATGAAAAACAGCAAAAAACAACAACCACTCAATTACAGAATTCTGCTTGCTTATCAAGGTCTCACACTTTATATCTATGAATATTCTTTTTCTTGTCACTAAATATTAATGAAATGTTTATCTTTAGTATGGAATTTTGCATTTCATCATCACTTTTTCCTCAACAAGAGTGTAAAGAAAATCAATGAAAATGATAAGCATGAAACCATTAAAACATGATGTATTCATGTATGCTGTTGTCTTGATTTTTCAATTTATCAAATCTATCAAGCATTTTAAATGCCTATCATTGTTAAAAGACATACACATGACATTTTTGAGGATTTTCAAAAATTGATTTCAGTTCATCTTTTGACTGAATGTGCATACTCATTTCCAAATTTCACACATTAATATTTGCTAAGCACACTTCTTGGGAAATGACTAGTTCATTATTATAAAATTATTCACAATTTTAACAATCTCAGGAACCAGATTATCATGTAGGCATCCTCTGACCAAAACAGTAAATTTATAAAAAAAAAATTGCATACTCAAAATAATGCTTAGTGGTACAACTGGAAATTGCATAGGATTGTTTTTTTTAAACAATATTGCTGAAATGTTCTATTTAATTTTTTAAAAATCTGACACACTGACAATTCCATATGGCAAGAAAAGAAAAATGGCCTAAAGGCAAACAACAGTATACATAACACAACATAAATAACTAAAGAATAAGCAACACTAACCCCACCAAAAACAGAAGATAATCTCAGGTGCTCCGGTTAGCAGATCCTGCTCCACATGTGACTCTTGTGGTGTTACTCCCAAATTATATCAAGTGAACAGCTGGTATCATGCAATAGCTGATTGGTAGTTGACTCTTATCCAACCCTAAGACATCACCAAATTCATGTCAATTTTCCAACCCTAAAACAGCATAATAAATTATGATAATTTAGTCTTAGATGCATGATTTTTTTTATTAGTTGTTAGTGGCTTTGAACTAGCTGTCAGTAACTGCGATTACTCTCAGATCTGTACTTAGTGTCTTTTTTGTTGTTTGGATGTACAAGTACCCAGCCACGTCCACTTGTAATTGTAGTATTTGTATTTTTATCCATCTGATGAGTTAAGCCTCTTTCAACTAATTTTTATAGTTCGTTCTTATGTTGTACTGTTACACCACTGTCCCAAGGTTAGGGGGAGGGTTGGGATCCCGCTAACATGTTTAACCCCGCCACATTCTGTATGTATGTGCCTGTCCAAAGTCAGGAGCCTGTAATTCAGTGGTTGTCGTTTGTTTATGTGTTACATATTTGTTTTTCGTTTATTTTTTGTGCATAAATTAGGCCGTTAGTTTTCTCGTTTGAATTGTTTTACGTTGTCATTTTGGGGCCTTTTATAGCTGACTGTGCGGTATGGGCTTTGCTCATTGTTGAAGGCCATACGGTGACCTATAGTTGTTAATCTCTGTGTCATTTGGTCTCTTGTGGAGAGTTGTCTCATTGGCAATCATACCACATCTTCTTTTTATATATGAGATGGTAATGCACTTTTTACAATTAAAAACTTTGACCAAACACATATTGTTAGAATGAAGCAACTTGAATGTGTGTTATGCCTTTTACATATCAATAAAACCACAACACTATTTTTATGATATAAAACAGTATTAAGTTTTCTAATCAATCTGATTAAAATACAGTGTCCAAGCTTTGCTTACAAGATTCTGTCAACAGTCTGGTTTACTTTCTGTTCTGGTAAATATTACATCAGCCAATGAAATTTCAGCATTTAAATTTTAGAAGATGTATATTAATCTGACCAAACCAAAGGATCCTGAAAATTCTTTAAAAACAGAAAGTAACACGGAGTGTTTTCAAATCCTTGTAAGCAAAGCTTGGACATACATCTGTAGGTTTTTTTTTTTTTAATACAGGTTCTGTATGTTAATCAGATTGTTTTCTGTTATATCCTCCAACATTTTAAAGAATGAGCTTTTAATAAAATTTAACTTAAAAAATATATCTCTAGGTTTTGATGGTTTGTGTACTAATGCTGGAAGAAGAGAGATTTTATTTGGTAAAGATACTTTTACCAGTTGCAACATTTATATTGGTACATCTGATCTAGAGAATTGTACAGACCTCAGGTATGTTTAGTTTGTAGGGGAGATAATTAACATTGAAAGGTTTTTGTTTTCTTTCTTGTATGGAATTTTGTGATTAAAGATTGATACTGCTTTTCGTCACACATCAAGTTTTACATGTAAATGCAGGACAATGACATGTTAGTGTAATATGAAAAAACTCTGCTTTGTACATAGACCAACATTCAGAGTTAGACTTTGACATACTGTAAATTCAGAAATTATTGCGTGCATTTATTATTGCATTTTTATACGACCACAAAAAAATTTTGCGATCGTATATTGGTATGACGTTGGCGTCATCGTCCGGCGTCGTCGTCGTCCGAAGACACATTGGTTTTCGCACTCTAACTTTAGTTTAAGTGAATGGATCTCTTTGAAATTTTACCATAAGGTTCAATACCACAAAAGGAAGATTAGGAATGATTTTGGGGGTTATGGTACCAACAGTTAAGGAATTAGGGGCCAAAAATAAGCATTTTTGTAACTTCCAGACATAACTTGTGTGTTAGTGTATGGATCTCTCCATCATTGTACCACAAGGTTCCATATCACAAAGGGAATGCTGGGATTGATTTTGGGGGTAATTACCTCAAAATTTTAGGAATTAGGGGCAAAAAAAGGGGCAAAAAACAAGCATTTTTATATGGACAAATACTTTAGTACAAAACATAATTTAAAGCAGTGTAAGGGAGATAAATCAAATACATCATTTGAATTACTTCGCTTACACTGCTTTTAAATTATGTATAATGTAATGGTTAATGAACAATTAAGACAATTTAAAACAGTGTAAGGGAGGTAATCCACATACAATGTTTTGATTACTTCCCTTACACTGCTTTTAAATTAAAGAAATGCATATTTATAAAGGTAGCCCTGTAAAAATATCTGCAAATGTTGCATAATTTTTTTTTTACAAAAAAATCCATATGAAAGATTTGACACCATATTTTAAATTCTATTATAAAATAAATTAAGTTAGCACTATGGTAAATTTAAATGGGTAATTATGGTTGCAAATTCCATTGGAAATTTGAATTGAGATTATGACCATATCTTGAGGGAAAGAATTTTTTGGGGGAAAAAGGAGGGGGGGGGGGGGTAAAAAGAAATTGTGGAGGGTCAATTTTTTCTCATTTCAGATTTCATAAATTAAAAAGAATTATTCTTCAAATATTTTTTTTTTTCAAATTTCAAATATTGAAAAATTTCAAGAAGTAATCTTTAATTGCACAGTATGGCGCATTAGATTTGTAAAATCTTTGACCACATTTATTTATTTGTTATGCCAAATCTAACCGTGTATTTAGATTTTTAATTTTGGGTCAAGTTTTCAAATTGGACTACTTAAAGGTCCAGAGGGTCCAAAATTAAACTTAGTTTTATTTTAACAATATTTGAATATATGGGGTTATTTGATATGCTGAATCTGAACATGTTTTTACATTTTTGATTTCGGGCCCAGTTTTCAAGTTGGTCCAAATTGGGGTCCAAAATTAAACTTTGTTTGATTTCAACAAAAATTGAATATATGGGGTTCTTTGATATGCTGAATCTAACCATGTATTTAGACTTTTTATTTGTGGGCCCCGCTATCAAATTGGTTCATATTGAGGTCAAAAGGGTCCAAAATTAAACTTTGTTTTATTTCATCAAAAATTGAATTATTGGGGTTCTTTGATATGCCAAATCTAACCGTGTATTTATATTTTTTAATTTTGGGTCCAGTTTTCAAATTGGTCTACATTAAGGTCCAAAGGGTCCAAAATTAAACTTAGTTTGATTTTAACAAAAAGAAATTGTGGCGGGTCAATTTTTTCTCATTTCAGATTTCATAAATTAAAAAGAATTATTCTTCAAATATTTTTTTTTTTCAAATTTCAAATATTGAAAAATTTCAAGAAGTAATCTTTAATTGCACAGTATGGCGCATTAGATTTGTAAAATCTTTGACCACATTTATTTATTTGTTATGCCAAATCTAACCGTGTATTTAGATTTTTAATTTTGGGTCAAGTTTTCAAATTGGACTACTTTAAGGTCCAAAGGGTCCAAAATTAAACTTAGTTTTATTTTAACAATATTTGAATATATGGGGTTATTTGATATGCTGAATCTGAACATGTTTTTACATTTTTGATTTCGGGCCCAGTTTTCAAGTTGGTACAAATTGGGGTCCAAAATTAAACTTTGTTTGATTTCAACAAAAATTGAATATATGGGGTTCTTTGATATGCTGAATCTAACCATGTATTTAGACTTTTTATTTGTGGGCCCCGCTATCAAATTGGTTCATATTGAGGTCAAAAGGGTCCAAAATTAAACTTTGTTTTATTTCATCAAAAATTGAGTTATTGGGGTTCTTTGATATGCCAAATCTAACCGTGTATTTAGATTTTTAATTTTGGGTCCAGTTTTCAAATTGGTCTACATTAAGGTCCAAAGGGTCCAAAATTAAACTTAGTTTGATTTTAACAAAAATTGAATATATGGGGTTCTTTGATATGCTGAATCTAAACATGTATTTAGATTTATGATTTAGGCCCTAGTTTTCAAGTTGGTCCAAATTGGGGTCCAAAATTAATCTTTGTTTGATTTCAACAAAAATTGAATATATTGGGTTCTTTGATATGCTGAATCTAACCATGTATTTAGATTTTTTATTTGTGGGCCCTGCTATCAAATTGGTTCATATTGAGGTCAAAAGGGTCCAAAATTAAACTTTGTTTTATTTCATCAAAAATTGAATTATTGGGGTTCTTTGATATGCCAAATCTAACCGTGTATTTAGATTTTTTATTTTGGGTCCCGTTTTTTAAATTGGTCTACATTAAGGTCCAAAGGGTCCAAAATTAGACTTAGTTTGATTTAAACAAAAATTGAATTCTTGGGGTTCTTTGATATGCTGAATCTAAACATGTGTTTAGATTTTTGATTATTGGCCCAGTTTTCAAGTTGGTCCAAGTTGGGGTCCAAAATTAAACTTTGTTTGATTTCAACAAAAATTGAATATATGGGGTTCTTTGATATGCTGAATCTAACGATGTATTTTGATTTTTGGGCCCCTTTATCAAATTGGTCCACATTGAGGTCAAAAGGGTCCGAAATTAAACTTTGTTTGATTTCATCAAAAATTGACTTTTTTGGATTCTTTGATATGCTGAATTTAACCATGTATTTAGATTTTGGATATTGGACCATAATAGGTAAATTAAAAAAATTTAAGTTCTTAGACCACATTCATTCTGTGTCAGAAACCTATGCTGTGTCAAATATTTAATCACAATCCAAATTCAGATCTGTATCAAGCTTGAATGTTGTGTCCATACTTGCCCCAACTGTTCAGGGTTCGACCTCTGCAGTTGTATCAAGCTGCGCCCAGCGGAGCATTTTATTTAAAGATTGGACAAAAATGCGAGATTAATTATTGTGATTTCAGGAAAGTCTGCATACAGATACGTATCATATATCAGAAAGCGAGTTCTTATTATTGCGATAATCACCAAGTCGCATTGTTCGCATTTATAAAAATCTTGCAATAGTTTCTGAATTTACAGTACTAACTCAGTATGTAACAATCTGCAAGAAGATTTGTTACGCTACATGGACACATTATTCTGACTCATAGTTAACTAGTCTTTGCTACATGCTTGACAAAAAAGGAGTTAATACAATTTTAAAGTTGTAGATTTCATCTATCTGAGAAAAGAAAAGAACACACAACCTCCACAATAGAGGCAAATACACCAACAGTCATTTTAAAATATGTGATTTGAGTTAAACAAATTTTTTTCAGCTAAGATTAAGTCTGATTGTTAACATGCCGCTAATAATGTTATAACTTATAAGTTGATATTACTCTTTTGTAACACATTAATAATTTTCAAAAATTGTTCATTTGACAAAGATATGGAGTAATTTTTTAGACCAATTTAAATCAATAATCAAATCAAGATTAAATGACAATGATAGAGTGTATGCAATTGAATTTCAGCAAATTGATAATTAATCGTCTTGACAACTTGATGCCATCTGAGAGAATAGGTCGTTATGGTAACAACAATCCATATGGACCTGCACAATGGATAGAAGTCCTGAGGTAAGTAGAATACTGAGTATTCATTTATTTACACGAGTACCAATTTTTGTGAATTAAAGAAAAACTGTATTTTCAAAGGTACTTGATTTCAAGATTTTTACAAACTCTTATGTTTTAACCTATATAGGATCATTGTTCCTCTCGTTCTAGCGACAGTTTTAAAAAAAAACTGTAACCTGAAGCAATTCTCAATTCTGACAACTTGAAATACCCCCAAAAATGCAATGTTTATTTATTGAAAATTCTGCAATGGGCCCATTGCTACCTACATTAAGAAGACTGAATCAGATTTATTTGGTTGAACTTAACACAGATTTCAAACTAAGTTTCTGATAATTATATATAATTAGTTCAAGGAATAAAAAAATATGTAATGGGGAATTTTATAAAAAAAAAAAACATACTGGCCTATTTTGACTAAAATCTTTTTAAACAATTATCACAGGAACTTTTGAAGTTTGGAAAAAGACAAAAATGTGTTTCTAACTGTTAAATGTGAATTTTTCCCCCAAAGTCTTGGTGTTATTTTTGTAAAAGTTTTTAGTAGACAGCTATTATACAACATAAAAAATAAAATATTGTGGATTGGGATAGTCCAGAAGGTCTGCTTGCAATCCATTGCTTATTTATTTTGTTGACAATTGTTGACTTCGGAAGGTTAAAACTGTAAGTTTTTGTATATTTGTGTCAACTTTTTTTTGGTAGAGAGGATTTGACCTCAACTTGTACTAACAGCTTACAGGCTAACAACCAGACCGTGTTGTCATGGAGATTTTCTGGGTTTTGTACAGATATTGTCAGTGGTATCAATTTAGATGTGATGTATGGAGAATCTGGCATGGCTAGTGGTGTGCCTACAAAAGAAATTATAGGAGCATACATCAGGTGAGTGTTTAGGGCTATCCCATTAAAATGGATGTGGGGTGTAGAACGGGACTTCCAATATCCCCCCCCCCCCCCCCAGTTAGTAGTAGTTGTATGAAATATAGATTATACTCCAAAAAGTAACTAACTTATTTTACTTTGCATTCAAAGTTTGGTTTTGGATGAAAACTCTAATTGTGATCTGTTTGAGACATTATGAATAACATTTTGTCTGATTATTACACATTCATTTGGTAATGAAATACCAAAGTATGAAAGTATTAAGATTTGGTACTGTTTTTTTTTGTTGTTATAGGGATAAAAATGAACTAGTAGCTAGCTGTCTTTTCATTATCAATAAAGTCTTTGTATGAGTTTGTATACAAAAGCTTTCAATTTATTTAGACAGTTCTGACATAGGAATATTTTGTATAGATCAGTATGTTGAAACTGTATTTTGGAAAACACGTCTTATTGGTTGACAAGTCTTGAACACTAGAAAAACAGAACTGTCTAATATGTGTGACTGTAAATGTTTAACAAAAAGGATCATTGCTTGTGATGACCTCCATATGATCTTTATTGGTTGCTCTGTTGCTGTTGGACTGCTGTCTGTCTGACATTTACCTCCAAATCATCTTGTTTCTGTATATAGATTTTATGATGTAATTTTGATTGTTATAAAAAATTGACTTGTTTCAAAAAGTTTCAACTTACTGTATACCGTTTTTGGTTGTGTATAATACACACTTTTTAACCGAAGACATTTAGTTGGTAGAGGGGATGCGTTTTATACATAACTTTATACCGTTTTTAATTTTTTTTTTTTTTAAATTATAAGAGGTGGATAAAATTTTGATAATAACAACAGCTGTACATGACCATTTATATGTTTTATTTTACAGCTATTCAAAATCCACATGGCAGCTAACATGTGTATCAGGATCACAGTGTGCTGATCCATCTTATGTAGAACCATTCCCTGTCACAGCCTCTGTCAGGTTTATCAAAGTTCCAGCTAATACACCAGAACCCAAAATTAGGTATGTCAATACTACAATGGCTTAAAAAAACACCTTTAGATACAGTTATTGGCTTCAACACTCACAATATTCTAATGCTCCTTTTTTTATGCCCTCACCTACGATAGTAGAGGGGCATCATGTTTTTTGGTCTGTGCGTCCGTTCGTTCGTTCATCCGTTCGTCCATCTGTCCCGCTTCAGGTTAAAGTTTTTGGTCAAGGTAGTTTTTGATGAAGTTGAAGTCCAATCAACTTGAAACTTTGTACACATGTGTCCTATGATATAATCTTTCTAATTTTAATGCCAAATTAGAGTTTTGACCCCAATTTCACAGTCAACTGAACATAGAAAATGATAGTGCGAGTGGGGCATCTGATACTATTGACACATTCTTTTTCAAATTAACTCAAAGTAAGAAAGATACTATCAATTCATAATAATTCTTTAGGTACTAATTTTGGTGATTTTTTTGGGATATAGGTAAACGTAACAACTAATTTAGTGTTCAAGTGTATACAATTTTCCTAACACCATATTGTAAGCTTGAATACATAATTTGTCATAACCACAAAATCAGAAAACTAAGAGCATTCAAAATTCCTCAATCCAATCCAATTGGTACTAGCATATACAAATAAATAAATCTACAGTACACAGCTATGTTTACAATTTTGTACTCAAAATATTCAGTTTTGTATTAGAAATATTTATGCAAGCTTGGATTTCTTACAGATTTACAAGTAATAGCAAAATGAAAGTTAATCATATAAGCCTTCATTTCTTCCTTTTTATGTCTATGCTAATAAAAAGTCTCAAAAGGGGAAATAACTCGAGACTTTAAAATTTTCCACATCCCAGACCGTAAAAAAATTGAAATTTGAAAGCTGCAAATTGTTGTTCAAATTGTCAATGCAATATAGAAGATGTACTCTCAATCTGAAGCAAGTGTTTCTTTATAAGCTAGTATATTGTTCACCACAGATAAGGATGCAAAAATTTTACTCTTGGTAAATTTTTTTTTCTAGATGGGAAGAAGAACATCCAGATATATGTTACAGAGATATTTGCTGGGATAACTTTATTTATCCACTAGTGCGTGCTTACACTGCTGAACCAAGACAATATGTTCTAGCTATGTCGTTAATTTTAATTTTATTTTTGTTTGGATTTTTATTCATCACAAGACCATGGTGGTGAAAGAAATGAGAGAGATATTATTGTAATAAATTGATACATTTAAAGGCATAGAAAGATTTTAAAATTTAAGAATTGTTAAAAAGGTGAATGACATGTTTAAGAAGTATGAGGTTTATTTTAGAAGGTATTGTTGTCTATCAATAACTACAGCACAAAAATTGGCTATTGTAAATCAACTGATTTTTTGCAAGTAATTTATTTAATCAATTTGTGGGAGAAGTAAAATCATGTGAATATGACATGCCAGAATGGATCTTCCGTTATATGAATAAATCAACAGGAAAATTGAGCCAATAAATTCTATTGCTGTCGGCTAGAAATGGTTGAATGCAGAAAAAGTCATTTTGAAAATAAGTTGGGTGACAGTATGTAGAATAATTTTTAAATTATTATTTAAGATCATTCAGAGTCTGGAGAGCCGGCTGATCCATGAGTTTTAGAGTAAGCATTATTTATTTGAGTTATTTGCATACTTTTCATTAACCATTGACCATTGTGAAGTTTAGGTTTTAGAAAAATGAATGAGAAAACTTAAAAGTTGTATGAAAATATCTGCCATGGTTAACCAAAATAGGGAGAACTATACCATGAGTTTATAGTTTCATTAATGATTCTTTCTGTAGCTTGTTTTATATTTTTTTAGTATAAATAGTTGTTCCGTCCATGAGTATATGTGAAAGTGATGAGAGGTTTTATAAAAGTGTACGTTTGATTGTTATGATTTCAAGTAGTGAAATTTACAGGTTGTTGAATGAATATTTTATAGCTATACCTTTTATGGTATAACAGAACTTATCTGCAAAATAATGTTAGTGATCATTTGTTTGTCAAGTTATAGTGATATTTTTATATACATTTAATATTTATAAATGAATTTTTATAATAAAATTTGTGAAAACAATATTATATTTTTTATAGAAACCTGAGCCAATGTGACATTTGACATCCATTTTTGTCTCGCCTTGACGGAGTCAAAAAGCGAGACATAGGTATGCTGTTGTCGGTGGCGGCGGCGTGCTCAACAATGTATTAGTTTGTGATTAGGTCTAGTTCAAGGTGAACCACTAGTGGTAGGTCAATGATATTTGGTATGCAGTTGTATTAGCGTTGGCACATCTCATTACCATGGAGATTATTTGGCCCCGCCCCCTCAGTCAAGGTCTATTGACTTTGAAACTTTTCATAGTTTACATGTATTAGTCTGTGATTAGGTCAATTAATGGGGAACCACTAGTGGTAGGTCAATGATATTTGGTATGCAGTTGTATAAGCATTGGCATATCTCATTTCCATGGAGATTATTTGGTTCCGCCCCCTTAGTCATGGTCTATAGACTTTGAAAATTTTGCTAAGTTAACATGTATTAGTTTGTGATTAGATCAGTTTAAGATGAACCGCTGATGTTAAGTCAATGATATTTGGTATGCAAATTTATTGGCATTTGCAAGTATCGTTTCCATGGAGATTATATAGGCCCACCCCTGATCATGCTTCATTGACTTTGAAACTTTTACATAGTTTACAAGTTAATGTTTGTGTTTAGGTTTGTTTAAACGGAACGACTTATAATAAGTCAATGGTATTTGGTATGCAGTTGTATTAGCATTGGCACATCTCATTCCATGGAGAATGTTTAGCCATGTGCCTTCAGTCATTGTTCATCAACTTTGAATATTTGCATAACTTACATGTTAAAGCATTGCTATTTTAGTTTCAACATTTGCATTATCAAAATTACAAAAAGACAAGACATATCTCTGTGATAACAGTTTATTTAAATATATATATTCACATTTAGGTCTTAAGAAGTCAGTATGTGACATTGCAAAATTTCTGCCCTTACCATCATGCCTTCTTTTTAGTCCTTCTACTTTTTAAAGTGGGCAGTATATAGCCACATTCATTCTTCCTTCTGTCCAACTTTTGCATCTGCAACTGCGCCTGAACCAGTCAACAAGATTTTGTGAAACTTTAACAAAATCTTATTCGCATGATGTACTTTTGCACTTTCTATTTTTTTTTTCTTTATCTAAATGAGATTGGTAATTGTAACTTTCTCACATTATTGACCATATAATGCCATTGTTCTATTTTGTTTTTGATCAGAATTATTTTTGGGGTTTACCTCAAATACCAAAGAATGGACTTTGCCATTGTTTTATTTGGGTATTACCCATTTTGTTACCGCAAATCCCTTATGATAAATGGAACTCTCTCTCTATCTTTACCATAAAATGCCATTGTGCATCTCCTATTTCTTTTTTAATCCAAACTATTTTTTGGGTTTCCCCTAGCAAATCAAGTACTTTGCAAGGGGGGAGGGGGGGGGGGGGGGGGGGGTATCCTTTTGTGAGCTTTAAAAGTATGACAAAAATTTTCTGTCAAAATGAGATTTTTCAAACTATGTGCAAACAGGAAGTTGATGTACAACAGATGTAAAAAAAAATATGCTTGAGCATCACTGATGAGTCTTATGTAGACGAAACACGCGTCTGGCATATTAGATTATAATCCTGGTACCTGTGATAACTTTTTACACCACTGGTTTGATGGCACTGCTGGTGGACGCTTCATCCCAAAGGGTATCACCAGCCCAGTAGTCAGCACTTCGGTGTTGACATGAATATCAATTATATGGTCATTATTATAAATTTCCTGTTACAAAACTTTGAAATTTTCGAAATACTATGGATTTTCCTATCCCAGGAATAGCTTACCTTAGCCTTATTTGGCACAACTTTTTGGAATTTTGGGTCCTCAATGCACTTCAACTTTGTACTTGTTTTGATTTTGATCTGAGCGTCACTGATGAGTCTTATGTAGAGGAAACGCGTGTCTGGCGTATTAAATTATAATCCTGGTACCTTTGATAACTATTTACATGCTACAACTCAACATTATCAAGCACCAGACAAAATGTAAAATTATTGACTTCCATAGAAGCCAAGAGTAGTTTGACAAAAATTTTCTGCTACAATGAGTATTTGTAGCTAACTGCTTACAGGGGAGGGTTGGCGCTTTCAAACGTGTTTAACCCCGCCACATTCTTTATGTGTTTGTCCCAAGTCTGGAGCCTGTATTTCAGAGGTTGTCGTTGGTGCATGTCTGTCATATTTGATTTTCGTAGATTGTTTTGTTATTAGTTATTTCAAATTGTCTGCCAACAGGAAGAAGCTGCAAAGCATATCTAAAAATTGCCCACTCCCTGCAACTTAATATTAAGCTGCTGCTTTTAGAGAAGCCAAAAAAAAAAATTTGAAGAAATTTTTAAACCCAAATCTTTCTGAGGGACAAACAGCATGACATGACAGATTTGAGTGACTACTAGACCTGCCCGTTGGGGCAGCAGGTAAAAAAAAAAGAACAAACATTCAATAAATCAGAAAGTACTTAAATTGTTTTAGTTTTCTGTGCATTGTTGTTTTATGTTTTCAACTGCCTCCTTGGTCATGGTTTAGTATGCCCTCGACTTATATTTGTTGGTTGCACATACATACTATCGACAGGATGTAGGACCATACGGCTTCATATCTTTAAAGTAATATATATATATCTAGTAATGTTTTAATTTATCAAAAATAAAATCAACATTAGTACCGATAAAAACAATATTCAAAAAGATCTTATGACGTGTTACCTTGATATAGTTTAAGAATAAGTATTCAAAGAGGCAATGAATTAAGATGGACTCTATCTAAAATTGCGGGCTTTATAAACAGCATGATCATAAATATTATGATGTGATATCCTGTTTTTAATAACAATTCCACAGGTACAGCAAAACTTCCAAACTAAATTGTTGTATCTATAAAAGAATCTTGTAGGAGTTTTAAGTTATTAGGGGTAACGAAATCCCTGACTAAATAATTTACGAAACTCATCACTTTTGTACAAATCTAGAAAAAGACACTCATTGCTTTTAATATAAGATATATTTTAACGTAAGTTCCCTTGGGTTAATTTTCGCAATATAAGTAGATAATTTTTGATTTTCTAAACAAAAATATCATTTGTAGCGCTTAGTGAATTTAGAAAAATCTTTACTCAGTTTGATCATAAACTATAATTCATTAAAAAAAGAGATAGGCATATGTCTGGTATTAAAGGGACGCAGTCGGTGCCCATATGAATACCTACAGTCTATCGATAAAAAGCTGCTGAAACGTACATATAAAGGAGAAAAATTACAGCATTAATCATCTCACCACAGTTCCAGTAAGTATATTTAACAATGACGAAAAGAACCGAAGCTCAAAGAAAGGCTTGAAAAAAAGTTTTATCAAACACATCTTCAAACAATCAAAGTATACAAAGTTTTGAACACCAAGTAACAGAAGTCAACGATAATCGGGTCCATAAGATCTTAACCCTGGGTTGGGGAGAAGTGATCAAGGCATGTGAAAGACTGAACCAGAAGATTGACACAATGTAGCAAAATACTCTTAAAACTATAATTGTAAAACAACCCTTTAAGAAAAGAATCCATATGAACGATTGGTAAATCAAAGGAGATGTTGAGTATACACGAATGCAGCAGCAGAAATAGTGTGAGAGTTGCTAGAACTAACAGTTAAAGGTACGAGTTTGCAATATTATGAATGGAAGTGCAATCAGTAAAATTGAATATCTACAACAGTTTATGTCTCTACAGCAGATATATCAACAGATGTCTATCAACTCAACTACATGAAGTTTTGAAGTTTTACAACGTCTTGCATCATCTTCGTGATTGCCCCCATCCCAGTCACTTGAACATCCTACCAATAATCTCCCCATTTTGTCAATATTAAGACTATTAGGGTTCTCAATATCGTCATGACAAAACTTTGTGACAAACTCTCCATCATTTGACACGACATGAATGGTGCTTGTGTATCCGTCCGCAATTAATATGTGACCATGCATCGTTGTAACTATGTCATACGGTGTGAATGTATCGTAACAGTTGATGCACGACTGGCCACTGTATGCCCACTCTCCTAAGGTAACTATTCTTCCACTCCTTGATTCATATGTATAACGTGTACCATATCTTGGATTTTTTGCTGTATAAAATTACTTGTAGTCAATGATGCAAATGTCATTGTTAATATTTGTTGTGATTTTTGCAGGAAAGGTAAATAACATCTCCTCAGTTCTCGCATTACATTCAAATCGCCTGATTTCCTTTCCTAATTCCAGATTTTTTCATTGCGACGATAACTACTACAATATCCTACAAGAATGATATTACTAGTTGTATGAACACCACAAGGTTTTAAGTCACTGATTGATGTGAATTTTGTTTGACTGACACTATGACATATGTGCATTATTTCATCGCCCAGCAATTCATCAGAAATCAAAATGTTTCCACGGTATTCTGTCATATCTACTACTCGAGTTGATGAATTGAATTGCTTTGAAATATTATTCTTAGCGTTGTAATCTAAACATTTGACTATTTCCAAATTAGAAATAGTGAAATGCTGGAAACGATTTGTCCTCGCACTGTAAAGGACACTGGTCTCAGCATTAATGGTAGCAATAGCCGAAATATCTGGCAATGCAATAGTGAATGTGTGGACCAAATTCAACTCAGGTACTTGAGTAATTGATCCAAAGTAAAAATCATTTGAACTTGATTTAACGTAAATTAGATCAGGAGTTTTTACATTAGCAATCATTTGAGACGGCATATCTCTGTCGATCTTTTCATATACTGGGAATATAATAGATGGCGATGATTCCTCTAATGCATTTGCAAGTTCACTCTTTCTTTGTTTCAAGTCCTTTTCTATAGTCGTTAACCTTTCTTTCTCTTGTGTCAGTGCGTTATCAGCTGGATTCCAAAAGTCGTTTAATTGTTTAAAAAGTTCTTCCGCTTCCTGGGTCAGTGCATTTTGCCTCTCAGAAATTGTT